AGGATATTTTGATTCTACTTTACCCTCTAAACTGAAATGAAGGCAACCCTGCCTGTTGTCATTTCTATGCTGTCTCCCAATTACCGAAGCATCCAATATTTCAATTCATCAAACATAACCTCTATGTGCCATTCACTACTCATTAAGCACATCTTTGTATCCATCTGTTATAATTATAGAGGAACCATCCTTGTCACTGTGCTTTCTTATGCATGCAATCTTTGCATGAAAAAGATTTATCTTCGGAAATAGAGTATAAATGCATCTTGTATAAGGTATGCATCCTTTCTTTTTTTTTTCTTTTTTTCTTTTTTTCTGGTCTATAAACTTGTTTTCTACCATGATGAAAATGCTTTATTTTGTACTTTCGGACCATTTTCTTTTTCCTGTGATTCTGTATGATTTAGTGACTACATGTTGTCCGGCACGAGATGCTCTGAATGTGCTCCGAGAAAGAAAAGATGGATTTGACATTGTAATCAGTGATGTTAACATGCCCGACATGGATGGTTTCAAGCTTCTCGAGCATGTTGGACTTGAAATGGATCTTCCTGTCATTAGTCAGTTTGCTGTCTTAACATTTTAAGCCTTTTTAACGCTAAGTTTTCTTATTCTTTCATTCACATCCACTGAAATCTATATTCCTTACAAGCTATGTTCTATTAACCTGCACAGTGATATCTGTTGATGGGGAAACTAAAAGGGTGATGAAAGGTGTTCAACATGGAGCATGTGACTATCTTCTGAAGCCTATAAGAGCGAAAGAACTCCGAAATATATGGCAGCATGTCTTTCGAAAGAAAATACATGAGGTGAGAGACATTGAAAGTCATGAAGGCTTTGAAGAAATGGTAACTATGTGGTGAGTCTTGTACTGCTGCACACAACTCAGCTTTTTAGAACCTGAGAGTTGCAATGGGAATGAAAATCTCCTAGAATTGCTTACTGTGTGGATTTCTACTAGTTATTGTATGATTATGTATGACAGATCATGAATAAAAATTATGTATATTGTGTATCTTGTTGTCTGTTGCATTTCTATCATGATATTATTGTACAGAAAGGGCCCTATATGTTCTTGTTTGATTGAATGAATAATTGAACAATGGGCGGCAAATATATATATATATTTTTAAAGTTTTGAAGGCTTAGATAAGATCCAAAGCCACCAAGGCAAAAGGGTTTTTGGAAATATTCATGATCTAAGGGAACTAGGTTGTGCCACAAGGAAGTGACCATTGGTTGTGCCACAAGGAAGTCCAATGGTCACGTAAAGTTGTCTAGTCTCACATGCACTGAAGGGGATTTGAATTCTCGATCTCCAGGATGTGAGGTGAGAGTCAATCCAAATAGTTAAAAGATAGAATTGTCTTGAGTTAGATATCTATCAATTATTGTACTAAAATGTTTTTTTTCCCTTCCTTGCACTCCACAACATCTTCAACTAAGTTAGTTTATGTGATAATCTATTTTACTCCCCTAGTGTTGTGAGAGATTTCATTTGTAGGTACCTTATAATTGTGAATAAACACTTAGAACACCCATTACTGCAAGCAAAAGCTCATGCTTATAATGTTAAACTACTTTTTCAAAACTTGTCTACATCTTTAAGAACCTCTAGAGAAAGGGTCTGACTCAGCCTGGTTTAATGTTCAAGAACTTTTACTTCTTGTTTTAAAGCTTTGGGCTGAATTTGATTATGGGCCTGTATTTTGATTCTCTTATAGACTATGATTACTTAGGAGAATGTAAATTGGGCCTACTGTTTGACTCTTTGACAAAGATCAGCTACACTGAACACTGCAAATAGGCCTACTATAATGGTGAGGCCCATTAGTTATTCTCCACAAGACTACAAATGTCCCAATGGACAAAACATAATCTTGAGTCATGACTAATTTAAGCCAAAATTGTATTAGGGCCTCCCCCTCCCCATTTGCACCAAGAAATGATGGAATTAAAATTTTCAAATAAAAAATAAAAACTTTGAAGGCGAAGAAGAAGAAGAAGAAGAAGAAGGGAAACGATACATAGTCGGATTATTTTATGTGAGTCGAGGCTAATGTCACGACGACATTAGTGGTAGGACTAACGTTAGCTCCCAGTCAAATAAAAACAGTCGGAACGATTGACTCCATATCATTTCTCAAAACTTGAAGGGAACATTTTTCATGGAAAAATCAAAGTAATGTTTATATATGCAATCTACCTTTCCAGCTAGTTTATGTGAGTGCGCATGTTAGTGGTAAGACATATGTCAACCCCCAATTAAATAAAAACAAGTTGGAGTTATTCAACTGTTGAATTCCGTATCATTACTTAAAAGAAAAATCAAATCTATGTTTATACACAATCTACCTTTCCCAGTAACCCTAATTTGGTTGAATTGGGGTAGGTCTCTCTCTGCTCTCATGGGCCCAAACTCAAAAGTATGGCATATTCTTAGAACAAAACACAAGAATTATTATTATGGCATCTTTAAGCTAGTTTTGAAGAATTGAGTAATGAAAAATATATATATATATATAAATTAGTGCATAACTACAGAATAACACAGGAAGCATCAAATTGGAACATATGTAGGTTGAAGTAAAATTCTCACCTTTTGATAAAATAAACAAAAGAAAGAGTCCACTTAAGAGGTGTCGCATTGAATTCATCCTCCCAATTTGCTAATCTCCAATCATTCTTATCAACCCTTTAAGCACAAATAATTTATCTTTACCATAAAGGGGACTTGTAAGTGGGCATTTTCCTTTTAGAGCCTTTTGAAAGCCCCACTCCCAAAAAAGGTGTACCTTTAAACCAACCCTTGTTGTTTGAAAATTGAAGCTCCAATAAGGCCATAATTGTGAATTAAAAAAAGAGCAGGTGTATGGGACAGAAAAAAAATTCAAAGGCCACATCAACCTAGTGACAAAAGAACATGGTATAGATCCCACTAATGAAAGCTTAGACTGTACTTAGTGTTGAATCATGTCACAATGTTTTATATTGGAGGTCCTTCAAAGTGGATGAGGAAACTTGCTCTTTTGTTGGTCACTAAACCTAAAGTGAATTTTTAGTGAAACAACTTCTTCCTTTTTTTTTTTTTCTTTTTTTATCTTTTTTTTCTTTTGTAATATTATATATATATATATAAAAAGAAAAAAAAAAAAAAGGAAGAAGTTGTTTCACTAAAAATTCACTTTAGGTTTAGTGACCAACAAAAGAGCAAGTTTCCTCATCCACTTTGAAGGACCTCCAATATAAAACATTGTGACATGATTCAACACTAAGTACAGTCTAAGCTTTCATTAGTGAATTTTTAGTGAAACAACTTCTTCCTTTCTTTTTTTTTTCTTTTGTAATATTATATATATATATATATATATATATATATATAATATTACAAAAGATGCAACCTTATCTAGAATTAATAGAGCAAATTATGGTATTGAAATGTCTATCAATAGCAAAGATTGTTTAGGTTGGTTTACAAATGTCCTTAGTTGTTTTTGTCATTAAAAAAAAAAATGAAGTATAGAAAGACCCATCATAGTCAAATGGCGAATACTCTCATCTCACATCGAGTTGGTCAGGAATTCAAATATTTTTCACGGTGTGTTCAGTTACATGTAATTGAATCTTTAGAATTAAAACGGATGGAATTTGAGAAAAATAAAGAAAATTGAATCAATTTTTTTTCAAATTCCATCAATTTTAATTACATGCAACTAAACATACCCTGAAGATATCATTACAAAATCTTTTTTCTCGAAAATGACTTGCAGACAGTGGTTGATTAAGAGTGCTTTAAGAGGACCGACAACACCATCATTGTGCCCAAAAAAAAAAAAAAAAAAAGTAATAATAATAATAACAATAACCAAGTAGAAATTCAAATGAGTTGCCTTTCATGCATGAATTTTTATACCAAAAAAAATATTATATATATAATTAAAAATAATGCCAATAAAAAAGAATTATAACACATGCAAACAAAAGTGAAAGTGTTGTCTTAACAAAAAAAAAAAAAAAAAGTGAAAGTGTTGTTGATAGCAACGGCCGTCAGATTCCTAATATTACCTGATAAGGGATGTTCTGTCTTACACTAATTGGATAAGAGAGAGGTTCTGTCTTGAGTGTATGGGAGCTTTTACCCTTTTAGGGTTTGGACTTTAGAGTTAATATAATGCAATATATATACACACACACACTAATATAGTGAACAGAAGAATCCCACTATATATATAGTACTCTCCAAGTACATGGTTCTCCATAAGTACAAATTATTGAATTGTATGTGGCATCTAACTCATCTGTTTCGCGATATCCCCAAATTCAACCGCCTCCAATTTCTTTTGGGTAGTCAAAAGAGTCCCTTCAAGTGATTCAAACTAGTGAAATAACCTACATTCCTTGGGGAATGACATTAACTTATCCTCTTAAATTGACATATTATTTATTTTTTTAGAAATCCATAACATATAATTGTTTATATTTCTTTTATTTTCTATATCATGACATTTTTATTTAAAATTATGTAATCAGTTATGACGTAAGTTCACAGTAAAAATATATTGGTGAGAGGACTTCTGAATTTCCTCAACTCCTATGATTCACCATTTTCCTAGACGGACCTCTGCATCTCCCTCAATTCCTATCTTTCACCATGAGAGAGATAAAGAATATGTTATCTTTGGTGGGTTACACACTTCCATCATTGATGGTGCATTTCTTAATCAAAAGTTACCCATTAATTCATGGATGGTGCATTTCACCCACTTAAGATGCACAATAATTCATATTAGCTTGGATTCTACCTTGGTACTTTCAATTTCCAAAGTTACCCATCAGAATATTCTCCTTTTTTTTTTTTTTTCTTTTTTCTTTTTTTCTCTTTATATATTTTCAATAATTTTGCTTTCCCATCAGTCGGTGTATTTTTCTTTTTACAAAAATTAAAATATATAACTTATATATATACACACACATACATTACTAACGTGCGCCGTAGGGACCGTTAGCTCCTGCCAACAGCCGGCGCCAATATTCCTTGCTCACTTCCTCTCTTAAAAACCAGAACAAGCCCCCTCCTTTTTAAAGTCTCAACCCCTCTCTCTCTCTCTCTCTTCTTTACCAATAATAGTGATACAAAATTACTACAGTCTATACCTTTGTATTCTATATTCTATATATGCCCTAGCTAGTTAAAGTGTTGTCCTTGCCTGAATAATCTTTCACAATTCGATCTTCATAGTCACATCTGTTGGTTCCTCATGGAAAGTGGGTTCTCTTCTCCTCGGAGCGATGCCTTTCCGGCGGGTCTCCGTGTGCTCGTCGTCGACGACGATCCAACCTGGTTGAAAATCCTCGAAAAGATGCTCAAGAAGTGCTCTTATGAAGGTTTTCCTCACACCCTACTGTTTTTATTTTTATTTTTATTATTATTAAAATTTTAATTTCAACCCTTCTTATAAGTGATTAATTGATGATACCAGTTTAGACTGAAGAATTATTATTATTTATTGATTGATGATACCAATTTATCTAATTTAGTCTGAAAAAGTGTTCTTTTGTGTTAATTATGAATTGTATTGTGTTCTAATTTTGTGTATCTGAATAGTATATTGGTGTAATTATTTGTATTTATTAGACCCTTTGCATCAAATTTTAATTGTTTGGAAAATGGGTAAATGTTTTTTTTTTCCTTCTTAATTTTAAAATGGGTGAATGTTCAGATGCATTGAAAAATAGATAAGGTATATTGTGTTCTAATTTTGTGTATCTGAATGGTATATTGGTGTAATTGTTTGTATTTGTTAGTCCCCTTTGCATCATTTTTTTTTCTTCTTAATTTTAAAATGGGTAAATGTTCAGACGCATTGAAAAAAAGGTAAGGGTTTTCATGAACATGGTTGAATAAGCATGGATAAATTAAGTTATTCCCATGATATTAGGCTTAAATTGGTGATTTAAAATATTTGTTATATTGATGAGTTAAGGGATGGAGTTGACAGACACTGTGATTAGGATGTTTAACTTAATATGCCTAAAAGAAGCTAAGCGTATAGGAGAGAGAGGAAATTTTAAAATACAAAATATAAATTCTATGATACTGACAATGGAAAATATAGAAATGGAGTAAGAAGATAATTGATAAAAATTTAAAAGAACTCACTGTTATTGAAAAATGAGATTTGATAAATTAACAAAACTTGTATTGGAAGAATACATAGTTAATTTAATTAGTGCTTATACAATTTAAGTTGGATTGGATAATGAACGAGGGTACTTTTTTGGAAACATATTGATGACTTAATTCAATAAATTTATGAAGGAAAGAAATTATTAATAACATGGTCATATAGAAAAAGATTGTAGAGAGTATAATATGGGGTATAATGGACATGAATTTGGAGATGTGATTGATGCCGGGTAGGCTATCCTAAACTTAACAATAGCATGATGAACATTTAATAACATTTAGAATAGACTGACTCCATCGATGTTTTCCTACTAAACGAGTAGATCATATTTAGTGCATTAGGATTAATCATCTTGGCAAAAGATCACTAGAGAAAGGTGAAGATTTCATTTTGAGAAGTTATTGAATCAAAAACATATAGGGGGTTAAATTTAGAAAAATTGTGATAAAATAGTAATAATATTGAAATAAATTTACTTGCAGGATGAGGATGTGTTGAATAAAAAACGAATTGAGAAAGATGAGATAGGATGAGCTTTAGGAGCAAATGGCAATCATTTTGAGGTTTGGAAGTGTTCTAATATTGGCATATCCTGGTTAACAAATTTGTTTAAAAAGATAACAACTTGGAATGCAATATGAGTTATAGCAAAAGTATTTTAGTGTGCCATGTTTTGGGATAATGGGATATTCAAAATTGTCAAATGATAAGTAAAGATTCAATGGGATATTCAAATTTGTCCAAATCATCACGATATTAAATTAATAATGTATGAAATTTCGAGACTAGTTGACCATTATAAGACTTGAAACAATAAGGTTAGAATATGCAGAGGATGTCAACAACGAAAATTGTTCGCTTACTATGGAGTATGGAGTACTCCCTCCGTCCCAAAATAAGTGTCATGCTTTCCTTTTTTGTCTGTCCCAAAATAAGTGTCCACTTTCCTTTTTCAAACAATATATTTCACATCATTCCAAAAATGTCCTTTGAGTTTAAATTTCAAACTTCAATATTCAAAACTTAAAAGGGTAACTTAGTAATTTTCTAGACAGACAATACATGGTCCCACATGTCTCCTTAAAAATTACTACTCCCCATAAGTGACACTTATATTGGGACGGAGGGAGTAATAAAAAGATGCATAAAGATTAAAGAAGAAGAAAGACATTCATAAGGTTTTAATAAATTTAGAAAAACCTGTGATAGAGTCCCTAGAAATACAATATGGTGGTCGGTGGATTTTTTAAACGAATACAATTAGATATAATATGAAAAATGTATTTATGATGGAGTTGTGAGTCTTGTGACTATATGATGAAGAATTGCAAGAGAAACAAATGATTTCAATTATAGTGGACTTATATCAAGGATCAACATTGAAACCCTATTTTTTTTTACCTTAGATATCAATGAAAGAACAAAATATATTAAGGATAAGGTGCAATGGTGTTTTCCAATTATGTTATGAATCATGATTGACGAAATTAAAGCAAAGATAAATGCTAAATTATACTTGTAAGAGAAACTCTTAAATCAAGTGCATTCAAGGTAATTAGCACTAAAATTGAATGTGTGCAGTGTAACTTTAGGACAAATTTGGAACTTGTATGGAGATTTATTTAAGGTCGAGGGTCCAGAGCTATTAAGCACGAATTGGACACAAGACAAAGTTACAACAATACAACATGATACGGATACGGCAATCAACAAATCTAAAAAAAATAGGACACAGGCGGCAAGGATACTTCAAAAAATAATAATAATAAATAAATAAATTGTATATACAAAAAATTGAGTTTTGCTCATATTTCCACAATATCATGAATGTATTCACTAATTTGGAGCTTAGAGTTGGATATGGATTCCTTTTTTATTTTTTTCTAAAACTTTATAATATTTTTTTAAATCCATAATATTTTTTAAATTGCATTAGAACCTATTTTTTTAAAATATAATGGCAAAACTACCCACTGAGTTATGAAAGTATCCCAAATGTGTCCCTATGGTGTCCTAGCCCAGAAGTGAGAAAAATAATGGCAAAGTACAAGCAAGAAAAGTAACAAAGTCAAGATTGAGGTTGCTAGTTTTCAGTTGTTATATTTCATGTTTACTCTTGCTGTGTTAAAAAGTTGGGCTAACACTGCACTGAAATATGGCGAAATTTTTTTTTCTGTGATTACATAAGTTCACCTTGATATGAGCACTATAACTGTGGTTTTTGCATGCAGTCCCATATGAAACAAACAGTATGGTATGTAACTTAATACCAAAATGACTATCTATATATGAAAAGATACAGTAAGTGTAACCAAAATATTTATGTACATACATATTAACTTTCAAGTATGTTTATTTTTGGGGACACTTGAATCTTCTATTTCACTCTGAAAGAATAAAATATACTACAAAGGTCTCTTTCACTTGATTAGGTGATTTGTTGCTGCAACACATGAGAATGATGTTCAGCGGAATTTGGTGCAGCCCATTTACAAGCACACTTGCTCGATCCATGGGCTGCCCTATCTTGGGACATGAGAATAATGAGTGCTATGTGAACAGCCCAAAAAAAAAAAAAAAGAACCTTAGTTTCATTCAATTGTTTGAAACTAGCCTGATTTCACTCCATTTAGGATCTAGAAGGTATAAAGAATTAGTTTCATTCAATTGTTTTACCTCTTGGCAGGCTCATAAACAGACAAGCTTCTTCTGTAACTCCTTGGCCTAATGGAACATTAGTTAGCTTATCCACTACCACTACAGACGAGTTTCAAACTTTTTTTTTTTTTTTTTTTAACAAGCCATGCTTAAGAAATACCAAGTTCAGCTCGAGTGGCCTGGTGAACAGTCAGGGTAGCATCAAAATATCACATAGTTGGTTAACATGCCAAAGAAGACACAAATTTAACACTAACTGAAAAAACATTAAAATGTGACTAAAAATTTCTTAGTCTTAGCACAGAGGCGAGCTTGGGTTCATCAAAACCTTCAAGAACCAAGCTTGAACTTGTTTATATCAATCCATTTGAAGGCCTAGTCCGGCTCAAGCTTGATTCATTCAACGGGTGACTTGAACAGGCTAATAATTGGTTTGGGTTGGATTGTTTGCAGACAAAAGGGTTTTCATATATCTGCCACACAATAAGTTCTACATAGGGGTAGAAGACTGGCACAAAATTTCCATTGCTGCTTGTGAAAACACCTTTTTTGGCTTTTGCTTTCCCTTTTAGGACCTTTTGCGTTGTATGCTTCTGTTGGTGCTGTCAAAGGACTTCATTCCACATGATCAAACCTTTTTAATTGACTGTCAATGTTAGTACCTATTTGAGCTCGTCCTGAGCTTTAAGAAGCACTATTTTATATTTATTGCTTTTCCCAATTTATCTCTCTTCCAATTAGCAATTCCCCTACTGTTTCTAGGATTCACATGAACCCATTGAATTTATTAATTTGATCTGAACCAATCCAAACCATATAGTTTGTTTCAGTTCCATGGATCAACAATTCAGTTCCAGTCCAAAGTAATGGAACCATTAGGATTGGTTTGCATGATTAGATGTTTAAAAAAATTGAACTAATCCAAACCGAACCATAGTACATATGCATATGTATATCTATTTCCATTTGGTTAGTTGATAACTGTTAAAACTATAGGCTTACATCACATTAATTTATGGCTATATATATTTCTTTTTCCTAATCTTGATATTCATTTACATAAGCTTATCGATGACATAGTATTATAGTTCTTGTTGACGTATTATATTATTTCATATAACATTAGAAACTAGAAATGCAATCTCAAGTAGGGTTTTTATCTAGATCATAAAAGTTGACTGTGTTTTCAGGTAAGCCTAATCCGTGAAACCAAACTGATTCAAACTGTTTTTGTACGGTTAGGTGGTTCCATCAGTTTGGTCTGGTTCTAATTTTTTTAGAATCGTTAGGATCAGTTTGATTCTACTTTACCCTCTAAACTGAAATGAGTGCAGCCCTGCCTGTTTTCATTTCTATGCTGTCTCCCAATATTTCAATTCATCAAACATAACCTCTATGTGCCATTCACTACTCATTAAGCACATCTTTGTATCCATCTGTTATAATTATAGAGGAACCATCCTTGTCATTGTGCTTTCTTATGCATGCAATCTTAGCATGAAAAAGATTTATCTTAGGAAAATAGAGTATAAATGCATCTTGTATAAGGTATGCATCCCATTTTCTTTTCTTTTTTTTCTTTTTTTCTGGTCTATAAACTTGTTTTCAGATGTCCAGTCCATGCTACCATGATGAAAATGCTTTGTTTTGTACTTTCTGACCATTTTCTTTTTCCTGTGTATGATTTAGTGACTATATGTTGTCTGGCAAGAGATGCTCTGAATATGCTCCGAGAAAGAAAAGATGGATTTGACATTGTAATCAGTGATGTTAACATGCCCGACATGGATGGTTTCAAGCTTCTCGAGCATGTTGGACTTGAAATGGATCTTCCTGTCATTAGTCAGTTTGCTGTCTTAACATTTTAAGCCTTTTTAATGCAAACTTTTCTTATTCTTTCATTCACATCCACTGAAATCTATATTCCTTACAAGCTATGTTCTATTAACCTGCGCAGTGATGTCTGTTGATGGGGAAACTAAAAGGGTGATGAAAGGTGTTCAACATGGAGCATGTGACTATCTTCTCAAGCCTATAAGAATGAAAGAACTCCGAAATATATGGCAGCATGTCTTTCGAAAGAAAATACATGAGGTGAGAGACATTGAAAGTCATGAAGGCTTTGAAGAAATTCAGATGATGAGAAATGGATTAGACGAATCTGATGATGGGAATTATCTTAGTGGATGTGATCTGGCTTCTGGAAAGAAAAGGAAAGACATCGAAAGCAAGCACGATGACAAAAACTTTGGTGATCCTTCTTCATTGAAAAAGGCTAGAGTTGTTTGGACTGTAGAGCTACATCAGAAATTCGTAAAAGCTGTTAATCAGATTGGATTTGATAGTAAGTACATTATGCACTTTCATGTCAATAGTTTTGCTTTTAGATGTTTATGTGGATCAAAAGAGGAGATTGGTCCCGCTTACATGGGGTGCTGGAAGGGGTAGACTAGAGACAGACCTAACCGAAAAGGACTTGTGTAACAGAGTTTATGTTAATAAGAAGTTCTCTGAATTGAACTTGCATTGTTAATTTTGTTTTGTATGGTTTTCTATTAAATCTATCACCCTTTTAAAATGCTTATAGAAATCCATGATGTTTCATTTCTTTTTGGCAGAAGTTGGTCCTAAGAAAATCCTTGATTTGATGAATGTTCCGTGGTTGACAAGAGAGAATGTTGCTAGCCACTTGCAGGTACATACGAACCCTTCCCACTGGTTTTGGTCCGAAGTTATTAGGTATACTTTTTTGGGCAAATTTTACTTTAGTTGCGCAATCTGCCAAGCAACACTGTAGTGTCAGCACTGTTTGATTGTAAAAAATAAATGATAATGGTTATGTTTAAATGAATCCGTCACTGTATTTCACGACTTTTCGGTCAAACTTAAATTCAAATGTGTATTAGGAACCTCATTGCTGTGGATGCTTCTTTTCTTTTTTAATGTAATTCAATATTTCAATGGTGTTTCATATGAAAAGTCACTCTAGCTCCTAGTTTTTTCAGGAGCTTGTACCACTGTTACAATCTGTTATGTAGACTGTACATTGCAACTGTAAATTATAGAACATAGGGCCTTAAAAGAGAAAAGGAGAAGTGAAGGATGTGAAATGATTTTTTTTGATAATCGTGGGAATCTCATTGATAATTTTTCCCTTGTGCAGAAGTACCGCCTTTATTTGAGTAGGTTACAGAAAGAAAATGACCTAAAAGCTTCTCTTGCTGGGATAAAGCACTCAGATCTATCTTCAAAAGACCCTGTTGGAAGTTTTGGTCTTCAGAATTCAATCAATGTGCAACAAAATGACGCTGCTCATGCAAACTATGGATTTTCTGGCAGTAGAATTCTTGTCCAGAATGTGGATGCAAAAATCCATGAAAATGGTATGAAGGGTATTTCATCATTGTCATTTACAGAATCCAAAGAAGTTCTGATTGGCAACAAAACAGATCCTCAGAAATCCAGCAGATCACAGGTGGGCCTAAATTATTCTTCTAGACCACTGGAGCAAAATATAAACTATGCAGCACTTGACTCCACTATCATAAAGTACCCTTGGAGAGGAGAAGTTCCAGAAATTCAGTTCAAACAAGAACACAACAAGCCACGTCTTCAGTTAGAGGATGTCGTCAGCCATTTGCCGGTGCCTGGACCACAGCATCACACTCGAGTTGATTGTTATATTAACAAAGAAAGAGATAAACCAGCACCTGTTGATGTGTCTCAATGGACCAAATATAGAAGCAATCATCCAAGACATGCAGCTCCAATAGAAAGTGAGATCGACTTATTTTCTGTTCAATCGCTGAGCCATTTGGTTGACTTCCCAACTTCTGAGCCAATCCCCACGGCTTCAATGAATATGAAGAATAATGGCTTAAATCAGACTTCTATATATGATTCTGAATCTGCCCGAAGAAATCCAACTTTGGGAAGTGGATCACCTTTTGCCTCTTTAGACGAGAATGTGCGAACTTGTCAGCTTCAAGGTAATTGTTATACAGTGGATCCTGGACTGCAGAACAAAAAATCTTTTGAGTACAACAATTCAGAGCTCATTGCTGAAGTTCCAGTCAACTTGTACGAGGCACTGAGATTTGACTACGAGTATCCCTGTGACTTGATGGAATATCCTGTAATAGGTCAAGGTCTATTTATAACATGATCATGATCCATTGGGAGTGTCTGCGATTTAGATGTCTTCGACAAAGGAAGGTGACTCCATTTTCTTCTGGTCAACTGATGTCTTGTTAGTGTTTCCAACTTGATGTGTATTTAGTCTTCTTCAACCCAATCAAATTGGACATGGTTGTTGAAACATGTACAATAGGATTGATGAAAAATGTTTAGCATAATAAGCAATCTTCATGTACTTAAAGATGAGACATGTCTACTGTGTGATACAGATGTACATGTATATATTAGTTTGAGGACTCGAATTAAACCTTGCAAATTTTGTAAAAAATTCTTAGTTGCAGAGCATTTAAAGATGTCATTTCTGTAAAGAAAGCTGATTTTATGTTGAATCACATTACTCTTGATCCTCATTTCACTCGAAAAATTATCGATACTTGTGAGCAACTGGCGACATTTCAGGCTTAAAAGGTCCCAATGTGCCATTTTCTGAAGTTTATAAGTTGATCTATTTTCCGGAATCAAACCAACCACTAGCAAGATTAGCAGTTTCCACTTTCTTGCATTTTTTCATGTCAATATGGTTTTGAAAGTTTAGTAGCGTAGGGCCTGTTTGGTAGCACTGCTTTTTTGTTTTTTGTTTTTGTTTTGTGCCCGCACGCTGTCATTTCTGTGAAAAATGGAAAAAACAGAGGCCTTACAATGACACTTCGGAAACAGTTTCCTACAGCATCAAATTGGTTTTTGTCAAAAATATAGAGTTGGCCGTTCTTTTAAAAAAAAAAAAAAAAAACAACAACAATTTGAAAAGCAAAACATGGTTACCAAATGTATTTTTTGCTGCCGATTCTCATTTTTTGGAAATGGCAACAGAAAACTGAAAATGGCAGCGTCACCAAACAGGGCCTCAATAGGTCTAGGAGGAACTGGAATTGGCTTGTGAGAAATTCTTAACTCATGATAACCTCAGTTATTAAATTTTAATGCAAAGTAAAGAATTCAGAAATAGCATTACTTATATTATTCACATTTACTACCATCCAAAAGATTGGCAGTGACGACCCTTTTTTAACAAAATCTACTCAAATGTTCCCAAAAAACTTGTGGATCCCCTACACATTACATATATCCATGAAAAAATCGCTCCATCTCCAACAAAATAATTCTGAAGAACCAATATAAAATCTCCTGGTTTACATTGACAGAAGCCATCAACACAAACTGGAACTTCTCGCAAGGTTTCTTCCATCTCCAGATGTGGATCCCAATACTACGTAAAAAATTTGTTCCATCTCCATGTTGTATACCCTCAAATGTCAGCAGCAGAGTTAATCAGTTCTTCGACAGTGTTCTTCAACGTGCATACACTTGAAACAAAACTCTCTACTCAAATTTAGAATTGCATATTAGGAGAAGCATTCTCATGCATGTTCTTCTTTGAAAAATGATTGATAGAGCGAGTTGGGGCCTGCTTATTCTTTTCTGTAACATGCTTGGTGCCATCAGTCTTGACTGAAGGCCTCCGAGGAGGTCGAGAACTAGTGTCCTGGACCATGCTGGGAGTTGGCTTCCTTCCAAGTTTTGGTGATCGAGGTCGTGTTAGTGGGATCTGCAAGACATAAAACGTATTAAACAACAGTTTTCACGCTGGCAGGAAATGTAGCAGATAAATTTAATTATTTAAGACTTCCTGAAAGATGTCAACAGAAACAGACCCCCTACAGGATGCACCAAGACTCAAAAGAAACTCTAGGAGAGTGTCAGACAATGTTTACTGACTAAATGTCTGATGAAACAATTCGAGCTTCCAGTATATTGTTTATTTTGACTACAGCAATTTCGTGTTATGTTGTTAAAAAGAACCTAGCATTGAAATTAACAAACCAATAAGATCAATGTAAACACCTTTCTGTGATCACTGGGCGATTCTGTTTCACAAGGAATATTTGTGTTTGGTTTGGCTTTGAAGCCAATGCTCTGCCGCATTTTTTTAAAGTCATGCTCTGCTTTCTCCTGCATAACAAGAGAAGATGGTTACTATTATTAACACACAGATTTTTCAGGCCACATATGTTGATCATCTGGTCAATGTAACAATGAAACGGTAAACAAGGGATCCTTAAGATGTGTTAGAATTTCTCTAGTTAGCCCGGTGGGTACATGGGAGTTTTCCATATGAATTTGACAGTCAAGTTATTTACGAATAAATATAGGTCACGAGAACCTGAGATTTTGCTTGTGGCTTCACTTTTTCTGTTTCCTTTGCACTGATCTTCTCTTCCAGCTTTTGAAAGAACTGAAATGGCAAACAACAGAGAGATAGCAAAGCATCAGCAAAAATGGAAAAATGACAACAAAGATAGAAGTAGACTGCAGTAGGATTCGGACATGCCTCTTTACGTTTTGCTGCTCTTTCTTCACTCCTGAAGCTAAAAGAGGAGGATATAGTAGGAGAACGTGCTTTGTTTCCATCTAACCTTGAAGCTTCCAAATTGCTGTCATACAGTTAAGAATAATTATCAGGTTTCTCTTTGTGAAATTGTTATATATTATTATGACTGTTATGTAATCAAGTAACTCTTAATTTAGTTTTCTGGATTTCTTCAATGCTACAGGACGAGGCAGGGTGCTACTGTGATACAAAGTTGGTTTGTATATCGTTTAGATGTCCTTATTATCAATTAGACATGGATAGCATCCACTACATAAAAGGCAGCATCCCCACAAAAATAAAGGAAGCGACTTCATTTTTGAGAGATACAACTCATTTCGACGAAGTATCATATTCTCATACTATAAACAAAATTCTAGCGAGACTTTCTCCAACCTTATCCTGCATAAATTTTTCCTCAATACAGTACAGTCCTTTTTTTTTTTTACCTTCAGACACAGTTAAGAATTATATGATCATGGAATGAAAACTCTACAATCCCAGTCAACCACAAGAATATGCATCACAATTAAGATGGACAAAGTTCTTACTCCCTTGATAGGAATTGTGATTTCCCATCCACTGTTCTGCTTCCAGAAACTGAGCGATCAAGAAGTGTTTTAGTCCTGTAAACCATGATATTAACATTTTAGTGTAAGGTGTTGAACATGTATACATGTATGGATAGCATCACTTATACAAGGTTTGTAACTGTTTGAGAATTTTACAGGAAAAACTACCTTCTATTTTCAGGTTGGGTGGGAACTGAAGGATGCTTTAAGACTCCCATCACAGACGCCTGCATGTTGCAAAAGACATTTCAGCTCTGTATCCAAGATCTCTCTTGTTTCAAAGAAACTAGGAAGTGCATGCATATGTTTGTGCAAAGAAGGTAGAAACAAGGAATGAAGTAAGCACCCTAGTTGGAGTTTGCCGACGAGACGAGTCATCTTTATATGCTTTGACAAAAGTTCTAACAATTCTTGAATTTCCAAGCTTTTGAAGAATTGGAGAGGATGTTTTACTGGTTTCTTCAGCACCAGAAGAGAGATTGATTGACATGTGAAGTGATTTAGGAGTTGATCTCTTTTTGTCCATCCAGTCCCTATTAGACTTCTTGGAACTGTTTGAATTGGCATTCTCTCCCTTCCTGGCTTGAAGAGAAGTTGTCGGTTTGGCAGGAGACTGTAGCTTGGATGCTCCAGAGTAAGCAGACAGCTTAGAAGAAGAAATTGCTTGTTTCTTCTTGCTTGTTGAAGCTGAATTCCCATGATTAGCAGCATCCTAGAAAATCAATCTAAGGTGCTAAGGTAACGGAAAAAAGAGGTAATCCAGTATATACAAAAACATAAAATATAATTATAACATAAATAAAAAAAAGGCTCAACAAATATACCTTGGGTAAATTCTCTTCTTGGGGGACAATAATCCGACTATGGTTCTCAACATTTTCAAGCCGGTTCGATAATCCAACATAAATAGAATTCTCTGTGATAACATGTTGTACTTCTGCTCCTTCCACCTTGTCACTTTTCAATTCGCTTGCATCAATATTAAGACTGCAGACACTATTTGCATCAACTATCTCGGCATCAGGGTCCCCATTTCCCTGCATTTCAACAATGGGTATATGGCTGTCTGATTTTGACAACTCTGAATCCATGGAAGAACTATTGTGAATCTCGTTTGTAATATTTTGTTCAGGGGAATTATTAGTCATTGCATTTTCTTGCTCAAGCAAAGCTGCCGCTTTCTTGGCAGCAATTTTCTTGTAATGCGCTTCAAAATAAGCTTTCTTCTGAGCAACAGAACCGGGCTTGGAAAATTTCTCAACTTCTTCCAAGTACCGATTGTGAGAGAAGGATGACCATTTCTCCCAAGCCAAAGGTTCTGACATATACCTCCCAAATGAAATTGATTCTCCCAAGGCACGAAGGGGATCTCCCTGAAAATAGATTTTTTTGCAGGTTCTTAGGAAAATCTTCAAAGCCCAAGTTGTAATACAATCAATCTCAAACACACATAAAGATACTTTCGTAGTAGAATTGTAACAGAAACCCCCAATTCCCTATAAAAGCTATTCCACACACTCACCTCCAAAAACAAACCATAAATAGAATTGAGAGCAGACACCAAATGATTATGTGATTTGTAGAAAATTCTCACAAATGCCCATTACATGAAAACCCTAATCAAGTTGCTAGATGCAGCATTGGGGAGAATGTGTATGTAGTAAATCAGTACTGAAGAGGCTCAAGAGAGAACAAAAAACTAGAAGCAAGAAAATACAACTAGTAAATCGAATAAAATATACATAAACTATACAAATAATGAACAAGTTCACAAAAAAAGCTAAATCATAAACAGCATTTGTGAATCCAAATAAACAGAAACTGAAACTCAAGGCACCACCAAGAACTATCAAGAAACCAAGAGCAAACCCATGTCTGCAACAAAGTCAAGAGGCAGAAAAATGCATATAAATCACTTTTAATTGATGATTTCAGTGAACAATGAGGAACCCATAAAGCGAATATCGAGTGCTAGTAAATGGAATACAACATACATAGCCCATACAAACAATGAACTATTGACACAAAAAACCTAAATCATAAACAGCATTTTTGAACCCAAATAAGCAGAAACTGAAAATCAAGGCCCCAACAACAACTATCAAGAAACCAAGATCAAACCCATGTCTGCAACAAGTCAAGAGGCAAAACAATGCATCTAAATCACATTTCATTGAGGATTTCAGTGAAAAATGACGAACCCATGAAGTGAATATCGATTTGGAAGACGAAAACATTATAAATTTTCAATCTTGTTTCTTGGACTGACCTCTTTGGCTTCTCGGGAGGCATCAGAAGGATGAGAGAATGATCTCATAAGACAAGCTGATGATTCACCCATCTCTGTTGCAACCTAGAGCGAGAAAATAGAAGAACACAAAGCCCTCCTCTGTATGCTTTCCCTCTCTCTTTTCCAAATCACACCCTTGAAAAACCTTCACTTCGAAAATGGAAACCCCAAGCGCTGTGTTTGTTCTATGGCCTGGTAGATATACCAAAGAGCTTATTAGTGTTTGTTTTGGACAGTGTGACTTTTTCACTACAATCATGGGTTTGGTCCTGAATTGAGGCCCATGAGGCATGATCTGACTCTAACGTATAATTTAGGGCATAATTGGCATTATAATGTCAAATTATATTGATGTGCGTGTGGGGAGGCATGATCTGACTCTAACGTCTATTTTTTTAGGGCATAATTGGCATTATAAAAGCAGTGTGTGTGTGTGTGTGTGTGAATTTGTATGACTCTAATAGTCTAATGTCTAATTTCTGTATTATGCAGATTCTCTTTCTATATAGTCCATTGTAATATACAGATATAGATAGAGAATTTATTTACTTTAATATATTGGCTAATTTGGTTGTTAATTTGAATTTGAAAAGAAGAAGGCAGGATGAGGGCCCACTATTGTGTCTAATTATAGAGATCATAACGGCTCGTTTCCAACAAAGAAGGCTCTGTGGGACATTTTGCAAACGATGTGCTAAATTGAGTAATGTCCTAAAAACTCCGATTAAAATGTTGTTTAGCAATACTTAATTCTGAATAAAATAAATTAAGTATATATATATATTGAAAAAAAAAAAACTCACACGTTTATATATATATATATCTGCGGGTCTCAAACCAGTGTTATTCCTTTTAAGAGGTATTTTAAGAGGTAGAAAAAATATTACTAAGTTACAACACATTTGATAATTATTATATAGCTACCAATTATAAAATAAATATTATTTAAAATTGGATATAATTTTAAGTGAGTAAAGTGATATATACTAAATTATAATTGAAAAAAAAAGTCAAAATGCAGCTGTCTCACCAAACTTTTTCAAAAAATTACAATCTCTCATTTTGTCAATATAAACGGTAAAATAGAGCAACAGATTTGTGAATATTGAAATAAATGTGAACTAGAAATGATTACATTCGTGAAATGGTTGGAGTAACACCAATTCAAGATAAAATAAGAAAAAATAGGATAAGATGGTTTGAACACATGCAATAAAGACATTTTAAGTGCGCAAATTAAGAAAAGTAATATAGTTCACATGGAGGGTAATATTAACATAAATAACTATACTTCCCTTAGGCCGCATAAGAAGAAACTTCCTTCTTACGATGAGGTGACCGAATAAAACTTCAACATGTATTAAAATTGTCATATAAAAGAAAAAGATGACTACAGGGAATAAAAATTGTACAAGCTATCTCCCATCTTGAAGTATCAACAAGCTCTACAATAAAGTCCGATGGCGACAGAAAGGCCGCCAGCGTACGAGCTCCCACTTCATAGAATCGGTTCAATTTCGATTAGGCTTTATAGATTTGAAGTGAACTTATTGTCGAAGCCCCAAAACGACATTCCCGAAAATAACACGAGTGGAGGTGTATGGAATCAAATGTTTCTCATAGTAGAATGGTTAACTAATTCCTCCCTAAGATTAAGACAATGCCCATTGATTGATTCAAATTATAAATCAATCAACGATATTGAAATCTAGAGAAAGAAAGATAAAGAGAATATAACTTTATTTGATTTTAAATTTGAACTCACGATTTTAAGCAATGATCTTAATTTAAGAGAAGCTTCAACACCCAAAAAATATACACACACACATATATAGATATGTGTAGATGTATATTTATAGTGGGACATTTCTTTTCTTCTTCTATTAATGCAATGAGAGTTGGTGTGAGAGACTAAGGGGATGGGTTTTATTATATACAGTCATTCTTTTCTTTTGTCTTAAATTTTTTAACACATGTCGGAGTTTTTATTAGGCCACCTCATCGTAAGAAGGAAGTTCCTTCTTATGCAGCCGAGGCAAGCATTATTCTTAACCGAAAAGGAAGATCAAAGTTAATGTGGGTAGAATTAGTTAAAAAAAATGATGATAGCACATGGATTGATTAAAGTTATAACTTTAAATAGAACGGAATGGAAATACCATATCCTAAATAATTAGATGAAAGAAAGTCTTGATTGTTCTATAAATAGTAAAATAGAAAATTTTGGTAATTTAAAAAGGCATTTTGGTCAATATATATAGTAAAATAAGACTTTTATATTAACTTTTGAACAATACTTGCCTCAGGCAGCATATGCTGACCTAGATTAATAAAAATATGACATGTGTTAAAAAAATAATAATAACAATTAATAAAAATTGTTTGGATCTTTTTGCAGATCATCCAAAAGCAAATATTTGTTTTTCTCTCCCGCGTTTAAGATTTTCTATTGCAAACCCTTTATATTGCAATTCATTACAAAAGAAGCTAAACAATTAGCCAAAACATAATAAATTAACCACAAAAGAAATCAATGAAAAGATTTGAATGATTCAGGTTTAATTTTTAAATATTTTCTTGACACATGTCATGTTATTATTAGTCCATATCAACACTGAAAAAAAAAAAAAAAAAAACTCTCCCATGTGGCCTAAGGGAACCTTTTTCCTTGACTTTTCCAACATCCAGCAAACAAAAATAGTTTGGCATTGGTTTTTTCAATGCATTTTTCAAGAAATCCAACACGAGTGAGCTAAAACTATCTTTTTAAAAGGAAAAGCAAATTTTTTAATAGAAAAATACGTGAGTTTTTGTAATAATCATTTTCTATAAAAAAAAATTAAAAAATAAAGGGATAATTTCGCTGACACCCCCACTAATTTGGCCAAATATCAGTCTAAAATATCTTTCGAAAATAACTATTACTTAGGTCCATTTTCGCTTTTCCGTTACAGCCTCAGTTAAAAACATGGGAAAAGACATGTTTGCCTCTAATTTTTTAATCATATTTATTCCAAAATATTAGATAACGGAAATGACTTCTTTACCCCTACACACACTGTTTCTCTCTCCTCTATCTCTCTATATGGCTACAAGTCGCAGACCCAAATTTCCCCTTCTTCCCCTTCACTCATCGGTGGGCGAAGTACCGGCTGTCCAAGCTGCCGGCAACCAAAATTCGCTTCTTCTTTGATGTTGATTTTGCTGGTACTATTTGATTGCCAGAAGCTGTGGAATCATTCATGGCGGATGAGTTATTGAAGTTTGGTTGTGTTGGGGAGACCAGAGGGTAATATTTTGAGATTGTTGTGGGAGAGGTCAAGAACAGAGAGGTTTCGAAAACCAGAGAGATGAGCCAAGTTAGTGAACCTGTTTGTAGAACGATTGAGGACTTGAATCGATGAAAATGAAGCTATATCTGAAGTGGGTTCGAACCCAATGGTCCCTCCGAATTGATTCTTGGAGAGATTGACTTTGGTGAGAGATGGGCTGGACCAGAACCAACCTGGAACAGAGCCTTTGAGAGAATTGTTGGAGAGGTCGATGGTTTGAAGGTGAGACATGTTTCTGAGGAACCACCATGAGAGAATACCAGTGAGGTTTCTGGAGGAGAGGGCCGGAGTTGAATCTATGGTCTTCGGGATCGCTGCAATTTTCCAGCGGAGAAGTGGTTGGTGCAGAGAAGAGGTGGTGGAAGGAATTCGGCATAATTTCCTGAGTGGTCTACCGCACAATTTCGGATTTCCGAAAAATGATTTCGTTTTGTGGTTGAAGAAAACAGGTGATTCCAGAATCTCTCCGGTGAAATTGTTGAATGACAGATCAAGGGTGGAGTTCGCCAGAATTTTGTTTGCGAAATAATGTTTGGACAGAAAATGAAATTAAGAATATGAATGTAGTTGATGGTATTAAGTATCGAAATATATTGTTTTACAGGTATGCGAGTACCGTTTTAGTAATACATATTGTTAGTATGAAATAGAGTACATGGAATGTTTGGTTTTTCAGTTTCCACCATTACTTCTGACAAAAAATTGGAATAATTTTTATTTTCTTCTGAGAGAAACGAAGTGTGTTTTTTTGACAAAGAACCAATATTCGGTACTCTGAGCAATAAAGGAACTGGGAATTTCCCTTAAAACGTGCGATAACCCTTAAAATTTCATTAATTTCCTTAAAAATATATATATGAATGGATGATTTTTCTTATTTTAATTTATAAATTTTTTCTTATTTTTCTCTTTCTCTTTTTAAATTTCATTAATTTCCTTACAAAAATAAAATTTTCTTATTTAAAATTTCATTAATTTCCTTAAAAAAATGTATGAATGGTTGCTTTTTCGTATTTTATTTTCTATTTTAGTTTTTAAAATTTTTCTTATTTTTCTCTTTCTCTTTTTAAATTTCATTAATTTTCTTAAAAAAATAAAATTTTCTTACTTAAAATTTCATTAATTTCCTTAAAAAAATATAGAACCGAACACTTAAAAAAATATAGAACCGAACACTTGTATGACGTATAATAGCCCTCAATACCAAACTGTATGATGTTGATCACCTACTTTATTTATTCTTGTATATGGAAAAGGAAGGGTAAACATGTCATTTGAATAGTCAACCTAAAGTCAAATGAGGGTAAACATGTAATTTTAATCATTAAAAAAAATTTATTGGGTCAAACCAAAGTCAAAGGGCAAAAATGTCTTTTTACATGTAAAAAGTGATCTGACACACCTGTCAACTAACTTTTGGGGTGAGTGAAAAACGGAGCAAATGTTTATAATGTGAGTGATAGTTATTTTCGAAAGATATTTTAGACTGATATTTGGCCAAACTAGTGGGGGTGTCAGTGAAATTATCCCAAAAATAAAAGGTCAACCGTGCTATACAAGCCAATTAAATTGTTACAAGGAACAACTTCTCACCAATTCAAACCGCGATTCAAGGATATAATTGGATTAAACATCCATTCTAATTAGATACACTCTCAATAAATTAAAAAAATCTCAATTATCTTTGAAAATTAGTTGGGTGAAGCCTTGAATAACTCGAGTTATCCAAAAAAAATTTGAATTCGTCACTGATCCGTTATCTCACGGATCGGATCGGATCGAATTGAATTCGTTTAATGATAAATCGAATCGAATCGAATCCGTGGATTAAAATTTTTTCTAAATAGACCAATATTATTTATTTTTTAATCATAATCCAATAAATAAACTTTAAATTTATCACCTTTAATTTATATATTTAAATGATCACTAACTAATTCATTGCCCATTAAATAATTATTAATTAATTAATACATTCTTTAAATATATATATATATATATAATTCCATCAATAATATTAGATCCAATTTGCACTAATCGGACCAAATCGGATCGAATTTACAAATTCACAAATTATTTGCACACCCTACAAAAACATACCCCGCTCATATATATATATATATATATATATATATATATGTATGTATGAATGACGATATCATCTAACAATAACAGGCCACAAGCAAAGAGTACTAGGAGACAAAGAGGTCTTGCAACCTTTGCAATTACTAGTTATTGAAAAAAATAATATTTACAATAGCAAAAACAAAAAATAAAGTTGAATTAAATTATTTTCTAATTATAAAATCCCACTTCTACCTTGAACATTATTAAAGAACACATCTATCTATCAAAAACGTTTCTATACAAATAAATAAGCAAACATCATCATTTTCTTTTTATGGAAATATCATTTAAAAAAAACCGTCTCCCAACTTTTGGATTGAGACGTGACGACATTTTTATTGTTTGAGACAACTGACTCATTAAAATGTTAACTTTAAAATCACAAATATACCCTTCATGCAGACAAAAATTCAAGGGGTATTTAAGTCCATAGATTGCGTGTGTGTGTATATATATATATATCTAAAGGTAAATTGCCCTCCACATTTGTTTTAAATTGACAAGTTTCAAAAATCATATTTTCTTGATTATTTAATTTAATTTAATTAATTCACAACCTATTAATTAACAAAAATAACCCTCACTCACCTTAATACACTCCCATATCTTTCTTCTCTGTAATCCCTCTCACAACCCACCATCGATCACCGACACACACAGACAACGACAACCACCACCACCACACCTAAAAAAAAAAAGCACATAACTCGTTCTCTCTCTCTCCCAAAAAAACACAACCCTTTTTCTTTTTTAATCCTCTCACGATCATCTCCCTTCAAATGGACGATTTTGCCCTTCAACTTCAAGTCCTATGCATGTCACTGCTAGCGTTTGCCACCTTTCTCTGCTACATCAAACATCGGTGGTCACGGCCTGAGTCACCGTCCGAATCAACTCCACCGTCACCGCCAAAGCTTCCGATTATCGGTCACCTCCACCTCCTCACCGACATGCCCCACCACGCTTTCGCCCAACTCGCTCGCAAACTCGGACCCATCATCTACCTCCAACTCGGCCGAGTCCCCACCCTTGTCATCTCCTCCGCTCCACTCGCCCAACTCGTCCTCAAAACCCACGACCACGTCTTCTCGAATCGCCCCCAACTCGTCTCAGCTCAGTACCTCTCCTTCGGCTGCTCCGACGTCACGTTCTCCCCTTACGGCCCATATTGGCGCCAAGCCAGAAAGATCTGCGTCACCGAGTTGCTGAGTCCAAAACGAGTCAACTCGTACCAACTCGTCAGGGAAGCGGAGGTGAACCGGTCGATTTCCACCGTGTTAACTCAGTCCGGGTCCAACATCGACATGAGCGAGTTGTTCTTCACCTTGGCGAACAACATACTGTGCCGAGTGGCGTTCGGGAAGCGATTCATAGACGAGTCAGGTGACTCGGCTGGTGAGCGAAAGAAGCACGAGTTGGTGGGTGTTTTGACGGAAACGCAGGCTTTGCTTGCCGGGTTTTGTGTAGGGGATTTCTTTCCGGAGTGGGACTGGGTCAACTCAGTGAGTGGGTCGAAACGGAGGTTGAAGAAGAACTTGGATGATCTGAGAAGGGTGTGCGATGGGATTATAGATGAACATGTGAAGAAGAGAGAGAGTAGTGAGGGTAATGAAGACTTTTTGGACGTTTTGCTTGGTGTTCAACAACGAGAAGACCTTGAGGTGCCTATTACAGACGATAATCTTAAAGCTCTTGTTCTGGTATGTAATCTCTCTCTCTCTCAAATTCTCTTCACTTGGTAAGTATATACACATTTATACAACTAAGTATATAGTAGTATCTACTATGTGTTGAAATGTATAAATAGACATATATTATACATATAGATATCTGCATGCATTATACTGGTGGCTCGGTTAGTTTACTTTAATTTTGTTCGAGTCCGTTACATTATAATTACAATGGATACTATGACCTTGACCGCGAACAACTATTCATAGTCAACTGCAAACTACCATTCAGTATGTGGATGATTTTATAGACCCGAAAGGAGATTTTATTAGATAAAATTTACTTAAATTAAGCAAACAAATGTTTTGAAAAAAAAAAAAAAAAGAAGAAGAAAGAAGAATAGAACGGAGGAATTGAGCATGCAAGGTTTCTGATAGTAATAAACAAAAGAGGAGTCAACGATACATATATATATATATATATCCAAAGGGAGACGTGGAGTCCATGCACAGAGAGTTAACTTGGCAATTGCGTCACCAAGTGTCTTTTATATGGCGCTACCGAGGTTTATTGTATGACTAATTAATTCATAGCACCACTACTATACTAGAACTTTAAGAGTCAAATAGAGAGGAAAGATTTGGTAAAAAAATAAAATAATAAATAAGTAAATAAATAAAGAGGAAAGAAGAGAAAATTATTTGTCACTATTAAAAGTCAAATCCTTTTCACAGAGTTAATTTGGCAATTGCGTCACCAAGTGTATTATGTGTATAGTGTATTGCGAGGAATCCAGTGTTTTATATATTACATGCATGTGAAAAGGGTAGGTCGAATTGGCTTGTTATAAGAAATTGCAGCTGATGTAGTTTTCCCAAACAGTTTTCAAAATATAGAAAATATTTTTAAAAATAAATTAGAAAAAATATTTATTAACTTTATTCTTAAAGAAAAGTTATGCAAATTATCAACTGAACAAAATTTTGTGCAGAAAACTCCATGTAATATAGGTCATTTCAGTTCATAATATTCAAAAAAAAAATGTACAAATAAGCCATTCTGACTACTTTTTGACAAAAAATAAATAAATCTGAAAAACTGATTTAACCTTTTTATTCCTATTTTACCCCTAACAGAATGTGCATATCCCCCCCTTTTTCTTTCCTGTTCCTTTTTTTTTTTTTTTGGTCTATTGGTGAGATTCATATTGACAATTTACGAAAGGTTAATTATATGCAAAATTATCCTATTTATTCGAGTTTGAGACCAACTATATAACCAAAAAAAAAAAAAACATGTATGATAAATAAAATAATAAAAAAAGACCTTAAATAATTTGCATTTTGTTGCTTCCTGAGATTTGGTAGGGCATATTAAATCAAGTTAATGGTTATATTTATGTTAGTTTTTGTTAATTTTTCAAGGGTAAATTATATGTAATTTAATTATTTCTTTTGTCAAGTAGAATTTTTACCACTACCCCGATATCAATCTCGTCTATGAATGATGTCACATGCACGAGAAAGATTGGTCATTTTACATAGAAAAATGATAGCTAACCGGAGAGTCGGACACATTGGATTTTTTTTTATTTTTTATTTTTGTCACTGTTAATGACGGACGTCCACTTAAATAAATGTAGTAAGATGTCTCTGACATTCAAACATTCACTACTCTTTTACATAAAGTGGCCGCTTTAAGACTCAAGCTCGTGCTGTTGGAGCTTTTACTAGTGCACCAAATTGGGTGATACTTGAGCCTTGCTCTTAAAATATCCAATTTAGTAGAGCCTGCTAAGCCTGATTATTGTGTCTTTCTTTTTTTTTTTTGAGTGTTTTTTCTTTTCTTTTTTTCTCTTTCATGACAAGAATATTAGGAGTTAGTAATTATAAAAAAGGGAGAAGTGCAATGCTCAAACACGAGCTCTTGAGCACATAAAGCAATCCAACCATTAGAACAGCACAATACAACACTAGCATTTATTTGAGAGTTTTAATTATAACCCTAATTGTAGCTACAAATGTGGTTAAAAATCCACTCACTCTAATGCGTATTAATTGCCTTGGCAAGTGGTTGGGCACCACTTTAATAAGTGAGTACACAAAGGTATGGGACCTCGAACAGGTTCTCTTTTTAGGGTTGTGGGGAGTGGTTCTTGCCACTTTCAAAGCTCCCCCCTATAGTTTGCTCTCTCTTTATTTCTCTGTATTCTTTTCATGATCAATCACTTCACCCATCTCTGCACAAAAGCGCCATAGTGTCACTCTTGTTACAAACAAAGCAAAGTGACTGTGTTAAGTTATCTCAGTGCGGGTGTGCGGGACGGATCTAGGTATTCATGTGGGGGGAATTTATATAGAGGGATTTTTTAATAATTTCAGTAGGGTCAATTTCAAAATTTTATGGGTATAAATACAAAAAAAATATAAATTCAAAAAAGCTGGTTCCAGAGAATAGATTCCCTCCCATAATCTATATGATATAGAACATTATAAATCTTTTGGTTTCAACATTCATTTGTGTGTGTGTGTGTGTGTATAGCATAGTGTCACACCCCGCTACTAAGAGGCTATGCCACGCAGGCGCCACGCAGACGCCCAGCAGACGATGACATGGAGCCTGCATGGATTGGAGCTTTCTAGACTTCTCTACACAAGTATGGAACTTTCCGGAATTCTCTAGATTAATGTGGAGTTGTCTAGCCTTTTCTAGACTTGTCTAGAGTTGTATAGAATTCTCTAGAATTCTCTAGACTTGTCTTGTACATAGTAGATAGTTCTAGAGTTGTGTAGATATTTCTGGAGGATTCTAGACACTAAATCTAGGCCACACATTTGTACACATCTAGAATGTTCTTGTAAGGCCAAAGGCCTATAAATAGGAGGTGGGAGTTCATTTGCTCCTCACCAAGCAACCAAATTGTAATCTCTCCTCTCAAGTAATACAAGTTCTATACATTCCCAAACTCTCTTGCTCACTTGCCTAACCTCTTCCTACACACCCAAGTAAGCAAAACACTTGTCTAGCCTTAATCTTCACTAAGCTAGCACACTCGGGTAGGCTGACTTAGCGCTTCAAGGGGGCTTGAAAGTGTCTAAGGCCGCACGGGAGCTTGAAAAGGTTCAAGTCCGTGACAATAGTCTCTTATCTACTTAAAATTTGTGGTAGTGGCGTAACAATTATAATACATAAAGGAAATGTGATGTGGTGTGACAATAATGATATTAGTGGTGTTAATAATGATATAAGATTAATCTTAAATTGCATTAAAAACATGTTCTCATTTTATTCGCTCATCATTGAATTAAGCTATTGTAAAGCTAAATATTCATATTGGGAATCCATAGTTAAAAATCAAATGTGACCACATGCAAAGTACACGGTTCTTTTAATTAAAGTGTCTTAATTCATGTTTAAATAACACCTTATAAGCATTTTCTAATCACGTTAACAATATTAAAAGTCTTAACCCGAAACTAGCAAATAAGGTTTTATAACTTGATGGCATCTTTAATATTAATTCAGTAGATAGTATATGTTGTTAGAATGTATATGTAGGCCTGTAGGGTGTATAATAAATGTTAACTTACAAACCGGTGACAGAAACCTTTAAACAAAAATAATATAAAGAAATTAGTGAAAAGAACAGGCACGAATGAAAGTACGAATATTTTTACAAGAATGACGTACTCGTATCAGATACGTATTGAATATCGATACTTGCAGATTCATGTTCGATACTTTTTAAACGTATTCATATTTTTTTAAAAAAATTATTTTTTATTATTAACACATACCCGATACTTTGACTACATATTCGATACTTCTCAAATATTTAATAACACATTTTTAATAAGTTTTAAATATTAAAATATAACTTTTTTTATATATAATTGATGAGAAAAATTCAAAATTTATTATGATGACTGTAGATGCTCATTGTATTAATGATTGCATTTAGATTTATAATATTTTTAAAAAATTGAATAAAAATTATTTTTTGACATATAAAAATATATATAGTTTTTCAGCTCTACAAAATATATAATTTTCTTGTCTCAAACAAAACACGAGGTTTAGTTTATTTTTGTCCCAAACAAACAAATTAGACAAAATAGTTATTTTACGTGGCATGTATTTATACTTTCATTTGTTCTACTGAAATGGGGTATTATCTTCATTTTAAGCCTCCAGAGGCTATTTGCACCAAATCAATAATGTAGGGGTGTTTTACACTACATATGGACTATTTTGCACTATACAAGTTGTTGTTGTTGTTGTTTTTGGTTTTTTTTTTTTTTTTTTTCTGTTTTCTTTTGTTTTGTTTTTTTGTTTTTTTGGTACCTTAAAGAAACCTGATTCTCCTCATATAACTGTAAAAATTTCGAAAACACCCATGAAGAAAGAATAATCACAATTTTTTCAAATTTTTTTTTTTTTTTTGCCCTTTATGTTTCTTCACTATGTGTGGGCCTTTTTGGTTTTCTATGGGTTTGTTTGAGTCCAGCTCTCAACATCCCTTTTTGTAAATTTTATTCATCTATATATTTGTTTCGTCATCATCATCCCTATTTGTTTCGTCATCATCATCCCTATGTCATGTTGTAACGGATCCTATATGAATTTTCTTTTTCATTATTTTCTATCATAAGCCATACTTTTTAAATAAATTCATATCTCTTCATTTCATATATTTTTTTTTTATCGAACTTTATATATATATATATATATGTATATATATTTTGCTTGACTTTTAGAGAAAAAAAAAATAAATAAATAACTACCCCACAAGACCCATAAAGGGTCTTGAAGTACATCAAAGTGACATCTTGAATGATGTTTGGTAAATGCAATATCACAATAAAAAAATCCTGTTTGGCCATTAGACAGTCTCCCAATAGAAAAAAAATAAAACAAAGTATTAAGTTTTAGAATTGATTTTTTTTTAGTGCAAACAATTTCTTAGGAGGTACGCATGTAGACATAGTCACCCGATCTGTGTGAGGATGTCTTGCACAAATCTCCTGATTATAGATATATATATATTTTTTGCTTGAATAGGAATTAATATATAGTGTTTTCACCATGGTTATCATAATCACGATTCTGAGTCGTAGAATCGCACTATTCTATGATTCAGAACTCAAAATTGAGTCAAATCGTTGTAGAATCGCTCAATGAGTAGAATCGGGAGTAGAATCGTAGAATCGAGGGTGGAATCGTACGATTCTACACAATTCTCCCGATTCTACAAAATTGATTGTTTGGGCCTTTATTTTTAGGCTTTTTTAATTTTTTGGTTGGTTTCTTCTGGGCTACAAAATAAAAGAGGCCTGGCCAAGTATAGTATACAAAGTTAAATATTTATTCTATAAAATATAAATTATTTTTCATTAGTGGCAGAAAAAGAAATATATATATGTATATATATCAATTATTTTTACCATGCATGTCGATGTTCCATAATATATTTTTATGTTAATTATAAAAAATTAAAATGATCAATTATATCACAAGGATGCATACTCGTGACTAATAGGTTTAGGTAAATTTTGGTTTCATGATCAATATTTTCATTTGACAAATTTTTTTTTTTTTTTTGAAGGCTTATCATATAGATTAAAAATTAAAAATAATTTAAAAACTTAAAAGACTTGCCAGATATGCTAGCCAAGGTATAATCTTGTAGTCTAAACTGATAATATAATAAGATCGAGTTAACACGTGGTTCATTAAATTTGTTGTGCTAACTCTTGATTAATTTCATACTTGTGACTAATAAGGTCACATACACCGTAACACTTGGATTGGTGGACAAAAAGGTCTTTTTATTTCTTTACTTTTTTAAAAAAATAAAAATAAAAATAATAAAAATAATAATAATAATAAATAATAAATAAATAAATAAGGAAATTGCATAAAGTTAAAAAAATGATTTCCTTTTGATATGTAATTTTAGTTTCTAACTTTGGAGATGGATGAGTTAAGATTTGAGATTTGTACCGTGTTATTTTGAGCCATATTCTCTTTTATTTATATTTGGATTTTGAAATATTGTTAGGATTTGAGATTTATGAACTCATGAATATGTAATATTGTGTGTTTTGGTCTCACTTTTGTTATATTTTACAAATCTTATTGTTTAAGAAGTTAGTTTCAATTGTTTTTTCATAATTTTGTAGAATCTTACGATTTACAATCCGATTCTACGATTCCGATTCTACGGAGCCCAAAACGATTCTGCGTAGAATTCCGATTTTAACAACTTGGTTTTCACAGGATTTCTTAATGCTACTGCGATATGTAACAGGATATGTTTGTAGCTGGGACTGACACAACATCAGCAACACTAGAATGGACAATGACTGAGCTAGCTAGGCACCCAAGAGTCATGAAGAAAGCACAAGACGAAGTTCGAAAAATCGCAGGCAGCGAAGGGAGCGTAGAGGAAAGCCATCTCCAGCACCTGCATTACTTAAAATCAGTCATAAAAGAAACAATGCGACTCCACCCACCAGTCCCTCTTCTAGTTCCTCGAGAATCCATGGAGAGCTGCATTCTCAATGGCTACCAAGTTCCAGCAAAAACTCGAGTCCTGATCAACACGTATGCCATAGGGCGTGATGCAGATTCTTGGGAGAATCCTCTGGAATACAATCCCGAGAGGTTTGAGGACACTGGCATCGATTTTAGGGGTCAAGATTTTAGGTTTCTACCGTTTGGGGGAGGGAGGAGAGGTTGTCCCGGATTTTCCTTTGGGTTAGCCACGATTGAGATTGCATTGGCTCGACTTCTGTATCATTTCGATTGGGAATTGCCCCAAGGAGTAGGAGCTAATGATGTGAATATGGAAGAAATTTTCGGGTTAGCTATAAGAAAAAAATCAGCTCTAACACTCCTCCCAACTGCAAATGAGGACTTTGGGTTCTTGTTCTTCAATAGAGGTTAATCCTTAATTAGCAATGAAGTACCTAGTTCCTAAATACTTTTGAAAATGCCTATGTGATTACTTGTACTATGTGTTTGATCAATAAAGAAATTATTATATATAAATAGTATCCATTACATGCAAATTGTCGCACCCTATCTCCTGAAGCTCAAATCCATGTCTTCTCTTTAAGTAGTAAGGGTCTTGCACCGCTAGGTCACTGAGTAATACAACATGTGGATCACGAGGTCGGGGGCGCTCGAACACAGAGAGACTTTAATGTGGATCAGGAATGTACTCTTTGTGAATGCATGTAACCGAATTTTTATCTACTTGATGAAGTGCTGGACAAACTTAAATGTGAATTTATGGGGATTGGGGACCATCCTTCGCCAATTACTTTGGAAGACGAGAATGTACCACTAGGCTACATCTTAATTCTAATATATATGTTGCAACTTGCAACTAAGTAAGGATCACAATAATAATTAATACATAGCTCCTTCATTAGATTTAAAATTTTAAAAGTAAGATTAACCATTAAAAATGTTGTTTGTTTGAAATCAATTATTTTAGGATTTGGAAAAGGAATTGGAATTAAAATGAAATTCTATTTATATGTTTGGAACAAATTGGATTTAAAATGGGATTTTGAATAAAACTAATATAATAGCATTTTTGCACTTGTTTAAATAATAAATGAAATATTTATTTTATTGTCAAATAGACTCCAAAGTTACATCAAGAAGACAAATAACGGGAATGATTACATGATGGAACTCTGAGACATGAAATTTATTTATATATATAAAAAAACAATTATTAAAGATAATGTTGGCTTATATAAATATAAATATAAATATAAATGATTTATATGTGAATTCTGAAGAATTGGATAATATGACTTTTAGTTATAAAATTGTGCTCTATTCGTTTAAATTTTTAAGTACTCAAATACTAAAGTATTGGATTCCATTACTTTTGGTTATAAAAAAAAATAAAAATAAAAAAATTCAAGGTGGTGGATCAATCTGTTAAACGCAGACTTAGACGTTTGGTTATACAATTCTGTATGGTAGAATTTTCGAATACAAGAATACTTCTATTAAACGCAGTTTAAGATATTGGAGTATATCAGACAAAAACAAAAATTGGTATGAATTATGGAGGATTGGAAATCGACATCTCATTCAAAATTTGAGAAATCAACGTCTTATTCAAAGTTCCATAACTTTGAGAATTAATATGTTAAATGCAATTTAAGATACTAAAATGTATACACTAAGAGAAAATATATATATATATATATATATATATATATATATATATATATATATATACATTAAAATAAGAGTAATGATACTTTCACCGATTTGTTGCATCGAATTGTTGCACCGAATGTTTCTAATTGGTTATTTATGCATAATACATGTAAGTGGAAGGTCCTACTTCTTTATTTATGCAAGTTATTGTAATGAATTGTCAAACTTAATTCTTTTAATCGATTCATTTATGTATAAATCAATAAGTGGGGCCCTCCATTTACATTTACTATGCATAAATAACCAATCAGAAACATTCAGTGCAACAATTCGGTGTAACAAACCGGTGCAAGTATCATTGCTCTTAAAATAATGTTATTATTATATAGAGAACGATGAGCTAGTAGCATGGATTTAGTTAAATAAGAGAAAATGAAGGAAAACGTTAGAGATTGAGATATAGTAGTAGATATTTAATATGATAGGGTTTAATAAGAAGAAGGGTTTAATAACAAGAAACGATTTGAAATTCTATAATTATCAAATCCCATTTATAATTATGTGTTCCAAACAAAACAAATCATGTTTCCAAATTCAAATTCCATCAAATCCAGCATTCCAAACAAAGAATAGGAAAACTTTATTTTTCTTACGCAAATCACCATTAATAGTCATAAATATACTCCCTCCCTTAGTTGTCCATCTTTCCTTTTTAGATTGTTCCAAAATTCTTGTTCACTTACATCTTTTCATAAATACCCTTAAAATTTTTAAAAATTTCAAATTTGATTATATATATATATTTAAATTTAAAAGAGTAATTTTATAATTTTTTAAAAGATAATACAATAATTATACATCCCCTTAAAAAATTCTACTCCCCAAAAGGAACTGAGGGAGTATAACATTTATAGATTTTATCTGAAGAATTCAAAGGATAGAAATCTACTTACCTTGTGGGTTAGACTATTTAAAGCAGGTCCATTGGTGCAATTTTCGGCGATCTGGGCCAATTTTGAAGAGTGGGCTACTCCAATGGACTCTTTAAAAAATGGGTCTATTAAAACAATCTTGATCCAAGTAGCCAAAAACCAATATTGGTTTGGTGAATTGCGGGCCTGACATGCGGGCCGCATCAGGTTTCTTTTTCTTTTTAATTCTGGGCCAAACAGTGTTTTAGCCTAGAACACTGTTTGGGAAGGCCTGTTTGGCTGGAAAAAAAAAAAAGAAGGAAAAAATTAGTTTTTTGGCTGATTTTGGTCTTTTTTTTTTTTCTTTTTTTTTCCTCAAAATAGTTGAACCAAAAAGTCATTAAGGCACTGTTTGGCTGACACAAACAGTACCTTAAAGGCTTTTTTGGGCAAAAAAAGTTTTTTAAAAAATAGATAAAAGTGTTTTTTTTTTAAAAAAAATTACTTTTTAAAATATTCCTACTAAAATATAACCGTTTTAGGCACAGTTTGGTTGACCCAAATAGTGCCTTAATGGCTATATTGGTACAAAAACTTATTTTTTGAATTTCTTTTTTGAAAAAATTCATTATATGCATATTTATTTTTTATTTTTTTAAAAAATAAAAACCTTTAATTATTTATTTCAAATGATATTAGAATCATTTCATTATTTAGTTCAAATATGATTTTTTTATTTTAAAAAAATATGCCTTTGTTTTCATTATAAATTAATAAATCAAATGATATTAATCAAGATTTCATTATAAATTAAAAAAATATGCCTTTATTTTCATTATAATTTATTTTTTAGTTAAAAAATAAATTTTATTTTAAATTTTAAAAATATTAAAATAATAATATTTTTGACTAGCAAAAATGCATCATTGGAATACATTCGATAAAATTTAGAGATTTTAAAACGCTGACGTGATTATAAAAAATACTAATATGATTATGAAAAACTGTTAGTGTGACAAATTCGGAGAGACTAAATTCGGAGAGTCCGTTTGGAGATGCTCTTCTTAATCTAGTAGTGTCGTATCCGGTAGGTGTCCTATCCGTTGAATGTGTGTATATAATATATATAGAGAGAGAGAGCTCTAGCCCACTTTCTCTGTGTGTCTGACTCTCTTACAACTTTCTGAGTTGAGAAGGCTACTTCAAATTGAAATAAATGGACCATTTTGCCATTCAAGTCCTCTGCGTTGCAGTGCTAGCGTTGGCCACATTTCTCTTGTATGTCAAACATCGACGGTCCTGGACCGAGTCAACTCTCCCATCACCACCAAAGATTCCGATAATCGGTCACCTCCACCTCGTCACAGGCATGCCCCACCACGCCTTCGCTCAACTCGCCCTTAAACTCGGACCCATCATCTACCTCCAACTCGGCCGAGTCCCCACCCTGGTCATATCCTCCTCTCAACTCGCCCAACTCGTCCTCCAAACCCATGACCACATCTTCGCAAATCGCCCACAACATGTCGTTGCCACCAACTACCTCTCCTTTGGCTGCAAAGCCATCACATTCAGCCCCTACGGCCCTTATTGGAGCCAAGCTAGAAAATTTTGGGTCACCCAGTTGCTGAGCTAGAAACGGGTCAACTGATTCGAACTCGTCCGAGATGAGGAGGTGAACCAGTTGATATCCATCGTGTTGAGTCGGTTCCAGTCTGGCAGTGAAGTTGACGAGAGGGAGTTGCTATTCACCTTATCAAACAACATAGTGTGCCGAGTCGCTTTCGGGAAGCGCCTGATCGACGACTCGGGACCGGAGAGAAAGAATCACGAGTTTCTGGACATCTTGACAGAAACGCAGGCTTTGATTGCTGGGTTCAGTATAGGGGATTGGTCTCCCGGGTGGGACTGGATCAACTCAGTGAGCGGGTTGAAACGCAGGTTGAAGAAGAACATGCATGATCTGACGAGGGTTGTGGATGAGATCGTAAACGAATATGTGAAGAATAATAGAGAAAGTACTGGAGAGGATAGCAAAGAAGATTTCGTTGACGTTTTGCTTCGTGCCCAAAAAGGAGACAACTTGAAGTTCCTATTTCAGACGATGGTCTTAAAGCCATTATTCTGGTATGCTATGATATTTCTCACTCAAATTCCCTATCTAAATTTTAAAATAATACAATTTATTCCTATAGATATATATATATATATATATATATAACATTCATTAATACATGGATAATAGTTAATGTGTTTCAATGACAATATATCATATCAACTTTAATAACCAAATAATTCACGTTCTCTGTGTTATCTTATATCAACCATTGAATAACTTTTTTATTAAAGTTGATGTGCTATGTTATTATTGGAACACATGAGGGGTGAGCAGGGTAAAGTTACTCACCCATGAGTAACTAAGCATTATCCTTAATATATTGTCCAGACTCTAGACATGGACCAAGCCGATTAAGTTTCGGGAAGGTGTGGTAGTGTTACCAAAATGGTAAAGGGTCAGACTTTTAGAGTTTCCATTCCATAAGTTTCATGTTCGATTTTTCGAACCATTGTCCGGATAAAAAAATCCCAAAAAATTATATTTGTGTATGTATAATTTTTTAAAATTTTAAAGCTGTTTTTTTTTTCAATTTTTTTTTTTTTATTACATTATGCTCTTGAACATAATTTCAGGCTCCATCCATAGGATCATATATCTTTGAGTTGCCACCGGGTGCATCCCTTTTTCTCTCTCTTTTCTCTTCCAATCCTTTATCTCTGTTCACTCTTCGTATCTTCTTCCCCTTTTTGGGTTATTCTTATCCTCCAACAGAACCCAACCACCTTACTCTGGCATTACAAACACTTCCATAATAAATGACTACAAAGCACTCATTTTTGTAACATTACCTATTTAGCCTTCTTTTACATTAAATTTATAAAAGTAAATAATCACATTCATCTAAAAATTTTTAGTAATCCATTCACTATCATTAAAATAAAAAAATATTAAAACTCATGCTCTTAAAAAGTTACATTCTCGAAAATTCTGTCTATGAAAAATATCACATTTTAGAAAACAACCGTTTTGTAATTTTATGGTGTAGAGGATGATGGTGATTTCGGAGGAGAAAATATCATAATAATATCTATTACCAAATTTTGTATTCAAGTTGGATTTTATCATGGACCCGAATACGTGCTTTAAGTCCTGTATTGGAAGATAATGGTTGTGGAATAAAAGTCATTACAAATAAAATTAAGAATTAAATCTACCTCTGACACGAATCAAATATCTTCTAATTCAAAAACTTACACGAATCAAATATCTTCTAATTCAAAAACTTACAGTGTACATGCTCACCCTACCCTTATAAGCCCAAATCATATCACAACCGAATCCGATATGTATGGGACAAGACCCTCTAATATTAGGCCATCCCTAATATTATTAGTGTAAATAATGAATTTTAGTTTAAATGATGTGTCATTGTCACACAATCTTATCCTAAGTCTAAAAATTTGCTCTATTAATCATGTCCATTCGATCATATAAGATGTCTACAAATATATTGGACTATAAACTAACATTCTCTATCTCTCCGACTCTCCGGACAGTTGTTGATTCTGAGTTAAGGAGACTACTCCAAAGTGAAATAGATGGACCATTTTGTCCTTCAAGTCCTCTTCATGGCAGTGGTAGCGTTGGCCACCTTTGTCTTGTTATATGTCAAACGTCGACGGTCACGGACTGAGTCACGGCCCGAGTCAACTCTGCCTTCACCACCAAAGCTTCCGATAATCGGTCACATCCATCTCCTCACTGGCATGCCCCACCACGCCTTCGGTCAACTCGCCCGTAAACTTGGACCCATCATCTACCTCCAACTCGGCCAAGTCCCCACCCTGGTCATCTCCTCTGCTCAACTCGCCCGACTCGTCCTCAGAAACCATGACCAAGTCTTCGGGACTCGCCCCCGAGATCTCGTCGCCGCCAAGTACCTCTCCTTCGGCTGCACAGACATCACATTCAGCCCGTCCGGCCCTTACTGGCGCCAGGCCAGAAAAATTTGCGCCGCCGAGTTACTGAGTCAAAAACGGGTCAACTCGTTCGAACTCGTCCGGGACGAGGAGGTGAACCGGTTGGTATCCACCGTTTTGACTCGGTCGGGAAGTGAAGTTGACATGAGGGAGTTGCTGTTCACCTTATCAAACAACACAGTGTGCCGAGTCGCATTCGGAAAGCCACTCATCGACGACTCGGAGAGAAAGAATCACGAGTTGATGGATATGTTGACTGAAACGCAGGCTTTGCTTGCTGGGTTTTTCATGGGGGATTTGTTTCCCAAGTGGGACTGGGTCAACTCAGTGAGCGGGTTGAAACGGAGGTTGAAGAATAACATGGATGATCTGAGCAGGGTCGTCGATGAGATTGTGAAGGAACATGTGAAGAAGAGAGAGACTAGCAAAAAAGATTTCGTAGACGTTTTGCTTTGTAAGCAAAAAGAAGACGACGACCTTGAAGTGCCCATCACAGACGATGGCATTAAAGCTATTCTTACGGTATCACTCTCAAAACTATTTCTTGCTCAATTACATTTATAATAATTTAATAGTAATTCAAATTTCACAACTTGAATTTAAATATTAAAAAATAATAAATGCACACCACAATTTTTTTAAAATGCACTCCTTTTCTTTCTTTATTTTATTACTATTTTTATAAATGCACTCTTTTTTTTTTTTTTTTCTTTTCTTAAACTAAATGACATAAATGCCCCTCATACTTTCTTCTCAATAATTTAATCCAGGACCATAATACGATAATATCATTTGATATTCAAAAGAGAGTACGTTTGTAAAAATTAAAAAAATAAAAAAAATAAAAAAAAATAGTCCATGCTAAAATTGCGGAGGCTATTTGTAATTAAAAAAGTTGATTATTGGACTAATTGCACCATTATGAAGCTCTAAGATGCTTTAGGCTGTGTTTGCTTTGACGAAAAACTATAAAAAGTGCAAAGAAATAGAGAGTTGTTCAATTTTTAGAGAGCTTGAAAGACAAAAATAAAAAAATAGTAATAATAATAGAAGTTTTGAGAAAGTAAGCCTGCTTGGTTTGAAACTATAGAAACAATCTTCTATTCTAAAAAAATAAAAAATAAAAAACAGTACAAAAAAACTCTGCTTGGTTGGTTCAGTTTTTGGTAAACTGTTTTCTGAAAACTCAATTATAAAATTATTTATTTTTAAATAATTATAAAAAATTGTTCTCCGAGAACAGTTTTATGCTTTCTGAATTCTTAAAGAATTATTTTCAGAATTACAAACCAAACAAGCAATATATTCCAGTTCATTGTTTAATTTTTTTCCTAACTTCATTGCAAAAATCACAGATTCAAGCAACTGCTTTTTTTTCTTCCCTAATACTTTGCTGTTAAAATCAGATGAAAGTGTATTCCTTATTTCCTACTCTTACCAGAAATAACTGCCTTGACGAAATTTGAAAACTTGTGTGTTATGTATTCACACCATTGCCTTAATGAAATTAGAAACCAGAATTCAAAAAGACAACTCTATCTATGGAGGACTGAAAACAAGGACCATGTAACAGGACATATTTGTAGCTGGGACTGACACAACATCAGCAACACTAGAATGGACAATGACAGAGCTAGTTAGGCACCCAAGAGTCATGAAGAAAGCACAAAACGAAGTTCGGAAAATCGCAGGGAGCGGAGGGAAGGTAAATCAAAGTCATCTCCAACACCTACATTACCTGAGATCTGTGCTAAAGGAAACAATGCGACTGCACCCAGTAGTCCCTCTCGTGGGTCCTCGAGAATCCACGGAGAATTGCATTCTTAATGGCTACGAAATTCCAGCAAAAACTCGAGTCCTAATCAACGCTTATGCCATAGGGAGGGATGCAGAGTCTTGGGAGAATCCTTTGGAATATAATCCTGAGCGGTTTGAGGATACTCGTATCGATTTTAGGGACCAAGATTTCAGGTTTCTACCGTTCGGGGGAGGACTGAGGAGTTGCCCGGGGTATTTCTTTGGATTAGCCTCAATGGAGATTGCATTGGCTCGCTTACTGTATCATTTCGACTGGGCATTACCTCATGGGGTAGGAGCCAACGATGTGAACCTAGAAGAGATTTTTGGGCGAGCGACCAGAAAAAAATCAGCTCTAATACTCCTCCCAACTGCAAATAAGGATTATGCGTTCAAGATGGTTGAGACGGAATGAGTTCCTGATACTTATGAAGAAGCCTATGAGGGTACATCTAGTAGGGGTCTCTAGTAATCAACTAATCAATATATATCTCATCTTTCAGTTGCTACCGGTGTTTCATAGTAATGCATGGCGATTTTCGTAGATACCAAAAACTTCCAAACGACAATGATGATATGGATAAGAACAAGTAGATACTTAGTTTCTGTATGAATGTAATTGACGAAAGTCACAAAAGACACAAAAATTTTCTTTTATGAAAAGAGACATGTGAACAAAATGTGTAGTATTGTTCCGTACAGCACCTCGCTCCGTGTGCTGGTTGAGTGGTAATGTAACATATGAAGCCTTCTAACCTCATAATAGAGAAAATACCCATTCTTCTTTGCCTTCAGCCTTTGACCCTGGTAAATGAAAAATCATCGTAATGATATGTGAAAAGATTTATCTCGGGTTGCTTAGGAATTATACCCATATAACTCACTTGGATTTTTCTTTGGGTTTTTCCTCTGACTCCTCTGTTGTTGCTGAATTTATGGCTGTCAGCTTCCCAAAAGATTCCTTGGCATCCCCAAAGAAGTCCTTCACATTATCGAACACTGTTTTAAGCTTATCTGGCGTTGGAAGCTGAAAATTGCATTTAGAGGTCATCCAAAAAGGCAAAAATGAAAAATAAGAAAAAGAAAACAGAAAACATGCCAGCAATCTTTTCAGAGTTCTAGCAGATACAATAGAAAAGTATGGACACCAGCTTATTGCTTATAAATCATTCACACTTATTTCTAAAGAAAGATCAACATGCACCATATGTGTAAGCTAAGTTGGCATAAGATGGATGTGCCAAGGATATGCCAGAAATTGTCGGATCTATATGAATTGCAAGTCAAAATCTGATTATTTATGTGCTAATATGATAGTTGTTATGTTAAACATATTTAGGACCTGTAAATCAGTAAGGATTTGTTTAAAAACAAGTTGGCTTTTTGGCACAGATAAAATGTAACTTTTTGCACCCCCAAGAACCTAACAGAAGGTGTGAACTGTGTGGCATTCCCTCTTAAGTTATGAAACATTTATCATTGTCTGTTTAACAATATGCATAGCATGTAGAAAGTCAATTTCTACACCATGCATCATGGTGTAGAAATTGATATATATATATATATATATATATATATATATATATATATATATATATATCGGTTTGTTTGCTTGGACCATAACTAAGGTTGGAGATTTTACTCCTGAACGGGAAAAGAGAGGTTGAACTTCAGCATTAAAGCCCTGAAGTATATCAGCAGACAGATGGACAAAAACAAAGCATATTAACCAAAGATGAATGCTTATGCATGCTTGTGCACATGTATGTGAACATTTTGATGATAGTGGCGTAAACCTAGTTATACTGAACATACTTCCAGTTTAAACTAATTCAAACCAAGAGAAGTCAAGGAACACCTTTAAATCTAGAAACCAATCAAACGGAATATGTCCTTGAGCTCACATGAAGTTATGCTCATTTGATCACCAGTTTACATCTTAATGAATCCATGCACTCCCACATGCACATAAAAGAAACAAAGCTTCACTAGATACTATTGGAAATCATATCCATAAGTTGACTCAATGATTGTGGCAGATTTATTGGGTCTTCAATATAGGTTAATATTTAGGGATTTTATTTTTATTCTGATTTGATTTGATTTTGTTTATTCTGATTTGATTTTATTCTCTTTCCATATTTGTAATTTTTCTCTTGCATATAATGATAGTCAGGCTCTCAAATTGAGTACGCCAATTTTACCAAGTTACTTTTTGGTATCAGAGCCTCAAACCTAACACCCCCCCGGTCACGGCCCCTTCTCTATTTCTTTTTTTCCTTTTCTTCACAGGCCCTCTCTCTTTTTCAGGCCGCTGTTGCAACAGTCCTAGAGAGAGCTAATCTCATCTAGGTTCGACCCATATAGGGGTATTCCCTTAGTCTTTTTCATGCACTAAGGGTCAGAAGACGTGTTTGTAATTTTTTGGGGCTGCCAGGATATTCAGCAGCATTTTCGGCTCAGACCGCCGTGTATCCGGCTTCTTGGTTTAATCAAAATCAGGTTTATTCCTCCTTTTATTTGAAATTATTGGTAATCTGTTGAATTATTCTATTTAATATTATGGCTGAATCAAGTAATAATAAAGAAACTCTCTTTTCGGCGCAACACACACCGGCTCAACGAGTTACTAGTGTGCTGTTGAATGGCCGTAACTTTGCATCCTGGGCTCGTTCCCTCCGCCTCTATGTTGGTGGAAAAGGCAAATCAGGGTGAATTTTGGGTACCGAAAAGATGCCAGATATTAAAGATCCTAAATATGCTCAGTGGGATATGGACAATTGCACCATTTTAGGATGGATGTTTAATTCTATGGAGGAACGCATTTATAATATATTCATGTTTTATGACTCTGTTAATGACTTGTGGACTGCTTTGAATCAAATGTATGCTCATTCTAGGAATGATGCTCGTATTTTTGAATTATACCAAGATATTGCTAAGGCCTCGCAGGAAGGCCTGAATTTGTCTGTAGCTGATTATTTTGGGTATTTGAGATCTCGCTGGGAGGAACTAGCTCAATATGAGCCTCTCAGTGATTGTCAGCATACCTATCAGTTTTTGATGGGATTTCGCCCAGAATTTGAACCACTAAAGTCTCAGATCTTGAATGCATCACCAATGCCATCCCTGTTAGAAGCCTTTGCTACTGTTGATGGTGAAGCACGCAGGCACCGTTTAATTTAGCCCTCACTTGTTCCTCCACAAGTGTCTGAGCCTGCTGGGGATAGTATGGCTTTTGCAGCCAACTTTGGATCACGAGCTTCTAGAGGTCAGATTATTTGTCACCATTGTGGAGGGGTTGGACATGTTAAGGCTCGTTGCTTCAAACTTCATCCTAAACTGAAGCAAAAATTTTCTAGGAACCGTTTATCTGGAACTGGTTCTTCTCGTACTGCGGCTGTTGCAGAAACTCCTATTACTACTGGTGGATCTACTGTATTTCCTGGACTGAGCCAGCTTCAGTCTCAGATTGGGCAGATCCAGGACCAGCTTTGCTCCCTTGCTTCTAGAGTTGGAGCTCCTTCAGCTGCTCCCACTGCCACTTGGTACTCCTACTGCATTTCATGTTAAGGCCAAGCAGCCCACTTGGGTTCTGGATTCTGGGGCCATTGCTCACATAATTGGTGAGTTATCAGTTTTTTCTTCTAATGTCATACCTGTTACCCAATCTGTGTATCTTACGGATGGCTCTACATCTTACATTCACAGTAAGGGTGATGTTTGTCTATCGCCTGATATTACTCTTTCATCTGTCCTTCATGTACCTAAACTTGTCTTTAACCCTTTATCTGTTAGCCGGCTTGCAAAAAACCTCCAATGTGCAGTTATATTCTTACCAGATCACTGTTTGTTGCAGGACCATTGTTCAAAGAGGATTTTTGGCAGCAGTTATGAGCGTGATGGGCTTTACTACTTTGGGGAACTACCAGGAACCAGTCTTCAAGCTTCTGTCCTACCTACTTCTAGTGTTTATGATGTTTCTTTTCACACCTTTAGTCTGTGGCATGCCCGTTTGGGGCATGTAAACTTTCAGTATCTATGTCTATTGTTTCCTTCGTTAAATAAAGCATGTAAGGACCATAAGTTTCAATGTGAAGTGTGTGAGCTTTCTAAACATACTAGAACTAGCTATATTTCTCATATGAGTAGTGCTCCTAGTATGTTTGATCTTATTCATTCTAATATCTGGGGCCCTTCCCCAGTTACTGCCTTCTCTGGACATCAATATTATGTGACATTTATTGCTGATTATTTTCGTTGTACTTGGGTTTATTTATTGAAAAAGAAATCTGATGTGTTTATTTTATTTACCCAATTTCTTCAAATGATCAAAACCCAGTATAACACTGTTGTCCGTAATATTCGTTTCGATAATGTACAAGAATATGTTTCGAATGAGTTTCGGACTGAACTTAATAAAAAGGGGATTTTACATCAACTCACTTGCCCCTACACTCCTGAGCAAAATGGCGTGGCTAAACGCAAAAACCGTCATCTTATGTATATGGTCAGATGTCTTCTGAGTGGTATGCATGTGCCTAAATTCTATTGGCACATGGCTGTTCTTACAGCTGCTTTTCTAAATAATCGTACTCCCAGTCAAGTTTTGGGTGGTAAGGCCCCACTTTTGTTTCACCTCCTGTCTCGTGTTTTCGGCTGTACTTGTTTTGTTCATAACCGTAGTCCTTCTCGTCATAAACTTGATGATAAATCTATTAGGTATATTTTCTTGGGGTATTCTGCTATGTCAAAGGGCTATCATTGTTATGATCCTGTGACCAAACATATGTATCATTCTCTTGATGTGACATTTCATGAAAGTGTTTCTTTTTATAATACTAATTCTGTGGTACATGATTCTCTCTCTTTTGATCTGGAGAAGGAGATTTCTCCTATTGCCCGTCTTGTTCCTCTCTTTGAAAATCACACTGTCCTAGAATTTCCTTCTCCATCCATGCAGGGTTCCCCTCCACCTTTGCAGGTCTACTCTCATCGCCATCGCACTTAAACTCCCCTGCCAGAATCATCTTTAGAACTAGGTCCAAGTAACTTTCCTTCTTCTCCTATGGCTCCTACCATTCCTGAGCATACCTCCCGTTATCCTACCCGTGATCGTCACCCTCCTAATTGGTATGGTTTTTCTAGTAGTACTAACCATCCTATTTCCCAGTATGTCTCCTATGATGGTCTTTCAGGTGCATATAAATCCTTCCTGGGCAAGATTGGGACCGTTTCTATTCCTCGATTCATGTTAGAGGCCCTTCAGGATCCCAATTGGGTGTCTGCCATGACAACAGAAATGGATGCTTTACAACATAATAATATATGGGAACTTGTTGCTTTACCTGTTGAGGAGAAAACGGTTGGCTGCAAATAGGTCTTTAATGTGAAGTACTTAGCCGATGGTTCTATTGATCGGTATAAGGCTCGGTTGGTGGCAAAAGGCTTTACTCAGATTCCGGGCAAAGACTTTAGTGCTACCTTTGCTCCTGTGGCAAATTTGACGTTTATGCGACTGCTTATCTCCTTATCTGCTGCCCATTCTTGGCCTCTGCATCAATTAGATGTCAAGAATGCATTTCTTAATGGAGACTTACTTGAGAATATAAATATGGATCCACCCCCTGGATTTCAGGCTGAGGGGTAGTATGCTGGGAAAGTTTGTAGGCTGCGGAAGTCTCTTTATGGTCTGAAGCAATCCCCAAGAGCTTGGTTTAGTCGTTTCAGCGATGTTGTTCTATCCATGGGCTTTGTGCGCTGCCACTCAGACCATACTTGCTTTATTCGACGTCGCTTTGATGGTCGTTACATTATGTTATTGGTATATGTGGATGATATCATTATCACAGGTGATGATGCTTCAGGGATTGCTCAAGCGAAACTTCATCTTCAAAAGTCCTTTGATGTGAAGGACTTAGGTCCTCTTCGATATTTTCTTGGAATTGAGGTTGCTAGATCCCGTCGTGAAATTTCTTTATCTCAAAGGAAATATGTTTTGGATCTTCTTCAAGATACTGGCATGCTTGGGTGTCGACCCGCTTCCACTCATATGGACCCCACTCTCAAACTCTCTGTTAAGTCAGGGGTATTACTTTCAGATCCATCCGTGTATCAACGTTTAGTAGGTCGTCTTATCTACTTGACTAACACAAGGCCCGATTTGACATTTGCTGTTAGTATGGTTAGTCAATTCATGCATGCCCCTCGCCCAACTCATATGGATGCAGTCTACCATATTTGAGGTATCTTAAGTCGTGCCCTGGTCTTGGTCTGTTCTATGCCTCAGGAAATCAGTCTGGACTCTCCTGCTTTACTGATGCTGACTATGCTGGATGTAAGACAGATAGACGTTCTACCTTTGGCTTCTGTACTTTCTATGGTAATCATCTCATATCATGGAAGAGTAAGAAGCAATCTGTTGTCTCTAGATTCTCTGCTGAAGCTAAATACCAAGATATGGCTCAAGGTACTTGTGAGCTCCTTTGGCTTCAATCAATTTTAGGAGAGTTAGGTCTTGTAGAGAAAGGTTCGTCAAGGCTGTTTTGTGACAATAAATCAGCCATTATGCTTGCTTCCGATTCTTTTTTACATGAAAGGTCGAAACATATTGAGGTAGACATTCACTTTATTCGAGAGAAGGTTCGATCAGGTATCATTAATCCTATTTTTGTTCCCTCTTCAGAACAGACTGCAGATGTGTTCACAAAGTTTGTTGGGCCTTCTCTTCTCCAGTCTTCTATAGTCAAGCTGGGCTTGGTCAACATATTTGCTCCAGCTTGAGGGGGAGTGTTGGAAATCATATCCATAAGTTGACTCAATGATTGTGGCAGATTTATTGGATCGTCAATATAGGCTAATATTTAGGGATTTTATTTTTATTCTGATTTGATTTTATTCTGTTTATTCTGATTTGATTTTATTCTCTTTCCATATTTGTAATTTTCCTCTTGTATATAATGATAGTCAGGCTCTCAAATTGAATACGCTAATTTTACCAAGTTACTTTTGATACTGACATTATGGATGGAAATACCAAAATTGCCATCTTATTGGAATGATATCCTGCCAATATTTTGTTTTTTCAAGTATTAACATATCCATTTAATAAATGCCATCTCCATGGATAGAGTTTCCAGACAGACAAGATATAGTTCACTTTTAAAATTTGTTAGATGATTTAGTAAGTGATATCTAGTTACAAAAATAAACTGTATAGAGGTAAACTGGAAGCAGCCAGTCATCAAACATGTTGCAACCCAAATTACAAGCTCTCATCCATAGAAGTTCACTCCATAACGCTGGTACGAGTAATAATATTAGTTCTTCTTAAAGATGTCTCATCTGTTGTAGCACATTGGAAGAAGTGCTGAGATGGCGTCTTAAAGGGAGGGCTAGGGTTTAGAGTTTAAATATTTATTCTTTTCGTTCAAAAGGAAACTCCTAAGGACAAAAATAATTACAAAACAGGGTTTTTTTTCTTTTTACATGATTCATAGCCTCATGTATTGTCATAAATGCTTGAGCAACGTCATAACACAGTAGCCCACGTTCTTGAGAAATCGATACGACAGACATTTTTATGATAATTTGGATATAGCTGATTCTCTTAATCTAATGTAAACAAACAAAAACAAAAAATGTCAAAATAATTAAAGATTACCTCAATAACATCTGAGGTAGAAAGCGCAGCTCTCAGATTGTTACCTTCCTGCATGGCAAAGGAAATAAAAAAATAAACTAACAGAGTAAATCTTTGCTTTTGCAAGAAGTTAAAGCACCATAAAATGTCATACAATGTCAAGCAAGGATTATAGGAACATTACAACAAGTTTGTAGCCATATCTAAACTCAGTTGCTGATCTTAACACACGAAACTGCTTAATTGCTGTCTTCTGTAACTCCTTCTCGTCCTGTTTATATCATAGGCCACCAGTTAGTTAAGTATACTCAAGACAGAATATTTTCAGTGAATCAGGCAAAATTGTTTCCAGAACTACAACAAAAGTGTTCATCCTTGAACCAGGGAGGAATTCATATGTTAAGCCAACATTGATAATCAGTGTTTAGAAGACAGTGTATGTTAACTAGATTGTATTAAGCATGTGGCTGGAAAGGTACTAGCAGCAGCACTAGGAATGTCAAGACAAAACTTGAAAAAACTCTTACTATGTTATCATTTCCTGGAAAAATAAATAAGTCAATGGTGAGCTATAATAGAAACAACTAAGGTTGCATGCGTGTGTATTTCAGACTGGAAGAAGTGATTGAAACAATTTCCACCCCATTTTTTTTTACCCAGCACAGACAGTGAAATTTTTTTCTTGCTAAAAGGTTGTTCAACTGAAATATAAGCTTCTATCAGGAAAGTTATTCGTCAAGTAAACTGAGCCTAACTGAGATGAGATAAAGAAAGAAAAGGAAAAAAACAGAGGTTGCATTTTTTTGACCAGTTAAAAGAATAAAACTGTCAGCTGCCAATGCAATAAAATTTATTACCTGAAGATATTATAATTGCTCAAATAATTCAGTTACATAATGCATCCCTATACTCGTAGTTTGAAAATCTCTTGAAATCGATTTGAAGTTCCAGAAAACCCTTAGAAAGAACCTTTTATCTTCTTTCTACATAGCTCAGAAGCACAAAAAGCTATTCCGATATACAACCTAATCCTACATAGGTAACATATTGACGTATTGTTTCTTCTTTACCTTTATTTACCCTAAATTTTAAATCAAGTTCGCTACTTACCGATCAATGATTATACAAAACTCAATCAACAATTTTCATTACCTGATATGGTGAAAAAGTTGAGAACAAAGATCACCACCTAATGATGTTATATTTCTTCACTTTCAATTCAACATCAGCTCCCTAAAAGGGGTTTTTTTACTTTTCTTTATCATCAAATCTATATTATCTCTAAAAGCTAATATAGATAGCAACTTTGAAGCTAGCAACTTTGAAGCGAGCTAAAAGTTTTATATTTTTATTTGTAATCAATTACCCCCAACATTCACGCATACTAGCATAATTTTAATTTACTTCCAATTGTACACATACTTTGGACCATTCTTGTCTGTTTATTAATGAATAGGTTTCAGCATGACGGTAATTTTGATACCCATCCAATAAATTTTGCAAATCTGATAGACTATTCGGCTTTATTTATATCTGAATTGGTGATTTTACAAATCTTATTAACGATAATACTGCTGTTATTATTTTTTGTTCACAAATAATTTTACTAAATCTAGTATATATCAACACTATTGTTTCCACCACCATACCACCATTGCCACTATCTTAACAGAATGAAAACACCATCATCTCCATTGCTCCTCGTCACTTTAGTACCAACCCACATCACCACTACCGCATTGCACTACCCTTTTGCTGCGACTCACTTCTAATACCAAACCTCCCATCCGTATTGTTGCTATTATTACTGTACACACGTGTATTGCAAGCGATCTACCTACAACTATAAATATAGTTTATACCATGACAGTCTCTCTTAAAATAAGAAATTAGAGAGTAATGAAGTTTAGTTAATTACAGCTAATATGACTACTAATATGGTATCTGAACATTATACTGTGCAAATAGTCACATTATTTAGAAACAAGTTAACACAGTTCAAGTTCTTGAACTCGTTCGATCCAAACCCTGCAAATTGAAATATTTGTTGGGATAAATTCAGATCCATGTGCACCCATTGAGAATTGTCTTGGAGTGAATTAATTTTGTCAATATCAATGCATCCAATCCATATATTTGTCTAAAAAATGAACACGTTTCAATTCCTGAACATAATGACGACTAGTTATACCACTAAGATGTAATTACAAATATAATAAGATGCAATTACAAATATAAGAAAAGCAACAAATCGAAACAAAAGAAGCTGAAGACTCTGTCTAACAAACAAACTCTGTAATATCAAATAGTATGATGGACCCTTTGTTAGTTCATAAACAGTATTAAATAGGGGTCAATGCTTGGTGCAATGATAGAAATATGACCTAGTAAGTGTATAGGGAAAGTTTAAATTGAAGAGCAGCCACTCTGCAAAATTATACCAAAATTTAGGAATGTCTCCAATCTTCCCCTCGCATTATCATCCCATCCCATAGGTCGGACCAACAATGAGTAAAGGTTTTTTTTATGGTCTATTGATAGACCAATGCCAGTGTCCATTAAAAATTGGTCCAGAGGCTTTAATATCCTTTTGGTTGTTTAGGTGTTGGACATTTATATAACCAAGGAAGCAAGCAGGATGTAAATGTAGGTCTATCATCTCAGTTACCAACTTGCATGACAAATTATCTGCAGAAAGGAACAGAATGATAAAAACACATGAATCAAGCAGAACAGAGACTCATTTTTTTGTGTGGATCCTTAAGACATAAATACTCTTACATAAAAGCAATACATCTGGCATACAATTTTTTTGGCGGAAACAGAAAACTTACTTTATAAATGACTGCGGCAAGATTTCTAGCCAGGGTATCCTTGTAAATATATTTCCCCATAAAATTATCTTTAGCAGCAACCATAATTTTTGCAGTCGTGCCACCCGTTACAATATTTAGAGGATACCAAAGATTAACCTGCCCAATCATGAAAGGCTTGAGAAGTGTTTTGTACTGAACAGCTTAAAGAAATAATCCAAGTCAAAAGAAATATGTAACACTTAAAGATAAAAACCCATGTTCAGGAATCAAAAACAAAGTAACCTTAAAAGTTTTATTTCATATAAGAACAGCTTATTGGGACCAATTACAACACAAAGGATTTATCTAAAGGGGAAGGACTTAAATTAATATATATATATATATATATAGAGAGAGAGAGAGAGAGCTAAACATGAAGAACCTGCTGGACATAAACTTTAAGCAGAAATTTGCAATAAGTTGAAGATAAGGGATTGTGACAGAACAGAAGTAATAAGAAGATTAATTATCTAGTTCATCAAGCTAATGCAGACTACAGTAATACTACGCGAATGGGGGTTGCACCATTGTGACCTGGAGCTAACGGTTCCAAAAAAAACAGCCTCCCCACATGGGAAGGTAGGCTGCATACAACAAGCCCTCCCTAGAGTCCAGACCCTGCAATGGCATGAGCCTGTGAGCCTCGTGCACTGGGCTAGCCCCTTTTCAGCAATACTAGGCTAATGAATACTAACTTGAAGAACCCAATATGAAGCAAATAAAACCCATCAAAATTTAGTCATAAATTCAACAAAAGTAACTCCAAATTCACATCTTTGTGCAGACATCAAAGTAAGGTCAATATAAGAAGGAAAAAAAAAAGGTTGTACAAAAGAAAAGATGATGAGAACTGAACTAAACATGAAGAGCCTACTGGCAAACTTAAGCAGAAAGTTGCAATAAGTTGAAGAAAAGGGACTGAGACAGACCAGAAGTAATAGGAAGATAAATTATCTAGTTCATCAAGCAAATACAGTAACAATACGCTATCTTCACAAACATGAAGAACCCATTATGAAGCAAATAAACATCAATATTTAGTGATAAATTCAAGCAAATTAACTCCAAATTCACATCTTTGTACTCATCAAAGTAAGATCAATATAAGAAGCTAAAAAAAAATTTGTACTAAAGAAAAGATGAAGAGAACTGACATTGGCCATGCGAATGAAGATGACAAATCGAGGGTTGCCATCGTCCTCAATCTTGGGCAAAGGAGGAGGTGGTGGGCGTTGGAACTGACGATTACCCACTCCTCTCCTGCCCTTTGCTTCAACCACGAAAAGGGTTTGTTGTTTGTGATGAATTGGGTTTTGGGTCGAGCGAGATGAGAAGAGTGAGTGTCTGATGAGAACACACTCTTGGGTTCTTGAATTCGATATGGGTAGTCGAATTAGTGCGTTTAAAGACATACCCACCTCCATTGTTGAGTGTCAAGAAGCACTGCAATTACTGTGACCCCTCTTTTGATTGGAAAGGTTGGGATTTGCGAGGTGGATGAGGGGACAAATCAGCCAAATCGTTGATGGAGGCTTATCCACATTCTCAAAATTCAAAAGAAAAAGGATCTGTGTGTGTCTGTGTATGTATATGTAGATAGAGTATGAGCCATACACGTGGCGGGAATGCAGGCTGCTGAATACTATCATCTGACCCTACAAACCAAATTCTTGCTGACGAGAGGTTGCTAACCACTTTTGATCTTCTTGGTGTGTTTTTGAAGAATTGAAATGTACTTTCTTTTTCGTTGCTGGATGTGGTTTTGTATATTTCACCATTTTCAATTAGTGGTTAGTTTATTTGTGAAATTTCGCAATTATGGTGGTGAAATTCACCTATTATATAATACTGTAAATAACAGTAAAAAAATTTTTATATATATATATATAGGATTAGTTATGGAAAAAAAATAAATTATATATATATATAGTAATAACCTTAATTTATGTTTGAATAAATTATGAACAATAAAAAAATATATATTATTCTTATTTTAAAAAGTTAGAATGGTAATTGATATTTAACATACTTAAACATAAATTTTAGTATTAACAATTCTACCGGGTACGTTAGCCTTATAATTGAAGTTAATGAGCATATATAATTATATAGTAGATATTAAAGGTCATTTATCTCATATTGGATTCGGATGGAAAAATAATTGGGTATAAATAGGTAGGTATGCAATACTACCCAATACCTTGAATTTTTGGATAAATGAGCCCACCCGTTACAATAGTTATGAAGTTCGCGGGTAGCTCTATATTCTAGAATATTCAAATTGAATTTTGATGCAAATTTTGCAAATCAATGATCCCTCTTTCTAAAGGGGCACATGGTTTGGATTGGACTGGTTTTTGAATATTTTGAAACTATATCAGTCTTAATTTGTTCATAAAAATTTGAAATCGAATCGAAATGTGAAATCCATGAAACCAAACCATGAGTAAATGGCTCAGGTCGATTCGGTTTTTTTATAATTCAATTCAATATATATATAAAATATAATAATATATAATAAAATATTTGCATGGTCAAAAGATATACTTATTATTTATAGGGTAAAGCGCAAAAAACCCCCCTCAATTATTAGTCAAAATGCAATTAACCCCCCTAAATTACAAAAAGTGCAATTAACCCCCTGGACTATGTTAGTTCGATGCAATTTACCCAATCCGGCCACCGGGAAAAATTTTTTTGATCATTAATTGGCGCGTGCATGCCACATTTTATCTAAATGACCATTTAACCTTATGAAACAAAAAGACCATATTGCCCATTTCTTACAAACACTGTTTATCTTCTTCATCAAACCTAACCGTAAGATTAGATTTCGTCGCTCCAACTCCGACAGCGTAAGCAGCAACTCTCTCCCTCCCTCTATGTGTGTGTCTATATATATGTGTGTGTGTGTGTGCTTGTCCGGAGAATTGAAGATATCCAGAGGAAGCATTTGCGGGAGAAATAGTTGAATATGAATCACGGGGATTGAAATCCAAACAAAACCCCTCTCCATCGATACCTACACACTCCTCATCGGAACCGTAACTCAGCCGGCGACACACCTCCCTTTCACTCGTCGCCAAATTGATGGTTCAAATTAGACCCAATTCCTTGTTTCGGCGAACCCAAATCGAGAGCATGGTCTCGTCGCCAAATTGATGTTCAGATTGAAACCCAATTGCTTGTTTTGGTGAACCCAAATCAAAAGTTGTATTAGTCATAAGCCGTAATCGCCGATTGTCATCACCAATTGTTGTTGTCCATCGTCGTCGTGGATCGCCTTTGTTGTTCGTCGTCGTCGCCTTCGTTGTTCGTCGTCGTCATCGCTGTATCCAGTGTTTGTGGATTTTAAACCACCTACTGAGACCCAACCCGACTGGATTGCATAGGGTTCAACCCTAATTTTAGAGTTTTCTACAATGAAGAGAATTCCCAAATTGATTTTGATTCTCTGTGATTCTCAACTATTAACATGTTAAATTGCCCCTTTTGTAAACTCGACTACTTATGGTAAGAGGTTTGCTTTTGTAAACTCAACTAATTAGGGTAAGACTCAACTAAGCAATTAAACCCAGAAGTTGCAGCAACCAAATCCGAAAGCCTCACCTTTACACAACTAGCGAGCTATCAAACCGTATGCAACTGGTGAAATTCATCTCTTCCGGTGAGTTTTTGCTCCAGTTTGGGTGAGTTGTGGTTCAGTTTGGTTCCAATTCTAGTGAGTTTCGACTGATTCAACGACAAGCTCCCCCCTTCGGCGAATCCAGCAATCTCAGTTCCATATATTTGAGGGTATCAGTCAAACAAAAGGAATAACAATTTATTCTTATTTCGGTGCTGTGTGTGTAAGCTTTGATGTGGATTGCTGAAGTGTCAATTGGTAATTGGCTCTTCAGATTACAATTTGCCATGTCATTGGATAAAATTTAAATATATGAAATTTTAATAAAACTACGTCGTTTTGTTCAAGGGTATACATGTCATTTAACATTTCCGGTGAGGGATGTTGACCGGATAAGTTACTGTTTTCCTCAACTGCAACAAAATGATAGTTCAAGGAAATTTCTTGTAGTTCGGGGGGGGGGGGTTATTTGCAAAATGTCCATAATTGAGGGGGTTTTTTTGCACTTTACCCTTATTTATATTATGTATAATATATAAATATATATATATAGATAATTTATATAACGATTCGTATAATCAAATCAAATCAAAATTGAACCGGATTTTTGAAATTGGGTATGAACCAAATTGGTCATTCCGGCTTGGTGCAGTTCAATTTATTGGTTCAACAAATTTTTTGTGCATCACTTATGTTTTGTGTCTGTAGGCTTTTCTCGTCTCTAAACCCAATTGGTCGCTGGGCTGTTAAAGTGAAACAATGGGGACCTTCACACGTCTGTTTGGCCTCCTCACTGGCTTGTTCAAGCCATTGAGGCAGACTTTGGGCCTTTGTTGTGTGGTTCGGTTTGTTTGGGAGATGAAAATAACAAAACAACCCAAAATTTAAATTGTGGGTTGAAATGTTTGGGCTAGCTCAAACTCTGGCCTTATAATATTGGTCATAGACCTGAAGACTAGCCCAACCCATGATATTAAATCATGGATACAGTCTCACTTGTGTCTAGGCTGTTATAAGTTCCCTATATTATATTAAAATTTTACCCAATATATATATATATATATATATATATATATAAATTTGGTGTTTTTTTATTTTTATTTTTTTTATGGGTAAATAACTTTGGGTAATTTTGTTTTGTAGGAGTATTACCAATGTCAATAAGGACCAAAACAGATCCAAATGATTAAAAATAGCAATACACTAAAGATGAGACACTTAATTTTTTCTATTTTTCCTGCTAGATTGTCAACAACAACTTGCTTTTATGATATTCAAGATAAGACTTTTTGGTTCTAAATTTCTAATAGAAGTACTTAGGATGTGATAGTAGTCAAATCATATGTCATATTAATTTATAGTCAACAGGCAAACAATTTCTTATGTTAAATAATTAAGAAAGGAAAAATTAACCAAATTGCAAAAAAAATATTATCCTTTCACTATTTTGTAATTTATCAACTATACATATATACATTTTGTTAGGGGGATGAAATGTATATTGTTTCTATATTGTCTCGTCTCGAAATTATTGGACTTATTTAGGGTTGACACTAAATTAACACGTTTGATTACGAACAGATTGACTGAGGAGTGTAATAATTTCCCATAAAATTTAGACACGTGTGAAATGAGGACCGGTCACAACCTTGGGCATGAAGCAAGCTCTATTTTCTTGCTTGATTAAACATTTGATGTTACATATTGTCCCCCACTTCCTGTATTCAACGATGTGGACATGCATTAATCAATTTTTACCTAATAAATGACCGAATAATTTGAAATAAGTGGCTATCTTTGTATAATTTCAACATTAGAAATTAAAATGATGGAGATTGCAAGAGAGAAGAGTTGACAATGCATGGAAGCTAGCTATTGCGTGGATATAAAAAAATATAAAAATAAATGAATATATATCAATGTCAATCTTCATCTGTTACCCCCTTTAATGTTGAGAATGACTCAATTTTCTTAATATTTTTATTTTTTCTAGATAAATACATACACTCACTTTATTCCCCACTAAGGCTTGACTTTTCCTTTTTATTTTATTATTATTTTTTTTCTTTTGATAAGTAACAACGAAAATGGAGACAGCTCAACATGTGAGGGATGAAATTCAATAAGAGATTAGTTCACCGAGGGCTTAATCAAATTTTATCGATCTTTCAAAGTGCATGATTGGGGATTCAAATTATTGCAGGGAACCCGAAATAAAAAATAATAATTATTTGTTTAAAACTCCGTATTAATAGTAAAAGATTTTATTAGATTTAGAAAATTTTCAAATATTAACAAAATTAGTAGAAAATCAAGCAGAATGGGACATGACACCTTAACATCTTATCATTTCAAATAAAGAGTGTCAACGCCAATTGTATTTGTAAAAATACCACTTTCGATTAGAATTCGGTCAAGATTTTACTTTACTTGTAACGTGTAATTCTACTTCAAAGTTCAAAATCAAAAGTGATTTTTTTTTTTTCAAATTATGAACTTTGACTTTTGTATATGTAAGTATTATTTTTATGCACATAATACTATTTTTTATTTTTGTGCATATAGTACCATTTTTGCGTATATAAGTAGCACTCTTGTAATGAGATGTATCACTTTTATGTACGTAAGTACCACTTTTACACACACGTAGATATCACATTTGTGTATGTAAGTACCATTTTTGTGCACAAATGTATCATTTTTTGTGTAGAGCATTTTAATTATTTGGTTTGCACAATAATGATACATGCGTGTACAATAGTGTCGTACTTACAGGCACAAATGCAGTGTCTGAAAATACTATGAGTAGTTTGAGCAAATAAATAATATTTTTTTATGTTCGGGTCAAAGTCCATGAATGTGAAGTGTGTTGACTTTGACTATACCTCTACGTAATAAAATCTCCCCAAGTTCAATTTTTTTATAATTAATTTTT